CAAATTCTTTCAAAATCCCTAACATGGGTACCCTTAAAACGGTCCCAGGGCTAAGCTAAGTTATCATGAAATCGATGGTTTATAAAAACTTCATACACGAAAATACAGTGATCAAACCTTTCTGAGTTAAATAATTGTAATCAAACCAAAATTATAAATGCATGTGCATTGAGCCTTTAGTAATAAGCTTGAATATGTTGCTACAGAGTTGAGTTTACAAACCTTATCAGTCTTTTAGTAATGATAATTCTTGTTATAAAAATTCTACATGTATGTACCTAGTCTCATCTAGTGTCTGAGTTTATCACTGCCAAAAAATATACAAACAAGCCGACACCTCTTTTACACTTATAAAATACCAATTGGGTTAAAGAATTGACTTCTTAAATATTTAACCATAGACTAACCAATATAAGTATACTTCCCAACTCATTGTAAATTTTGAAGCTCGTTTTCCATATCTAGTTCATGACCGGCGACACTGGTGGCTAGTGTCCAAGAAATTGTGTTTCTATTATTTTAGAGTTAATTTTATGGTTTGTGCTTTACTGTTTGTTTATATAACTAGAATATAAGTTATTGTTAAACGGTTAAAAGGGGCTTCGCGCTCGCGGAAAGTCTTAATTCAGGTAGTAATCGAGGATTATAAGGGTCACTCTGAAAATCGGAGGTGGCGGGACGCGGAGATAGCGGGAGGTAACCTAGAGAATATCTATTTAAAGTGTAGTATTAATGGTTGCATATGTGTCATGGATTTTGCTTAGAGTAAGTTAAATTAATCAATTTAACTGATAAAGAAACACATTACGTTTAGCTGTGTGTCGTCAAGGTGTCGTTGACTTCAGGTGGAAGGTGAGGCACCGCAATAGTCATTTCGTCACTCGCTTGACTTCCAACTCCTTTGAGCGCTTGTGGACTGGTCCAAATCGAAAGACTGCCTTTAAAATTAGAGTTAATTAGAGCCCGTTACTAAATTTATCGTGTTTAGTTATTTCAATAAAAGTAAAAATTTTCAATTCAATATAAATATTACCCCTTTTTAGTAAGCAATAATACATTACTCATTTCAATTCTGGGACGAATGTGAAATAATAACTATTGATCCAAATTAAAAACTCTTAATGCACCTGTTTCATTGAAAATATTTTGGAGTAAAATTATAAGTTTCGCCTTTTAAATAGGAAAACAGTCACCACGTTAACAGTCACTCTTGACATAGGTTTAAAAAGATTATAATTTGTTTGTAAACAAATCTAATAATTTAGTAACAAAAAATATTGAATATGTGATCCGAGTATCTGACCATTATATGTTTATTATTTTAAACGGTGTTATAATATGATGTTGTTGGTACTGGTACTACCACCTGTTTTTATACTCATTAACATGCTAACTAACGTGCTAACTTACCTAGCATTGAATTAAGAAGAAGAATCAGAAGTATACTATCCGCTTTTTAGCCGGCTACGTTGAACACGAGTCCCCATATGTTTAACATCTTTTCTTCTGGACAATTCAAGGGCAATGAGGGGCATTATGGGTTGTAAATGTGCAGAAAGAGCACTTCCTAGTTCCATAGCCTTATTTCTATACTTATAAAGCTGACAGATCTTCATGATAGTAGTATGTACAGTTTTAAGATCCGCAGGCGTACCAACCCACATCTATTACAAACCGAAACCTTTCCTGACGCAAATTCCTATAAACCGGATATAGATTTTGCCTTATAGCTTCGTAATTCACTGGACTGCCGCAATCATACTCATACTGATTATTCTATACATTGTATATTAGCATTAGAATACATCAAAGTTGATGTGATGGGCTTAGGAAAAAGATTGTGCACTTTTCCTGATGCGAGTTCCTATCAACCATATACATTTTGCCATATAACTTCGTAATTTACTGGACTGCCTCAATCATATTTATACTGAGTGTTCTACACATTGTACATTACCATTAGAATACCTCAAAGTTGATGTGATGGGCGCAGGAAAAAGATTGTGCACTTTTCCTGATGCGAGTTCCTATCAACCATATACATTTTGCCATATAACTTCGTAATTCACTGGACTGCCGCAATCATATTTATACTGAGTATTCTACACATCGTATATTACCATTAGAATACCTCAAAGTTGATGTGATGGGCTTAGGAAAAAGATTGTGCACTTTTCCTGACGCAAATTCCTATCAACCATATAGATTTTGCCTTATAGCTTCGTAATTCACTGGACTGCCGCAATCATACTCATACTGATAATTCTATACATTGTATATTACCATTAGAATACATCAAAGTTGATGTGATGGGCTTAGGAAAAATATTGTGCACTTTTCCTGACGCAAATTCCTATCAACCATATACATTTTGCCATATAACTTCGTATTTCACTGGACTGCCGCAATCATATTTATACTGAGTATTCTACACATTGTATATTACCATTAGAATACCTCAAAGTTGATGTGATGGGCTTAGGAAAAAGATTGTGCACTTTTCCTGACGCAAATTCCTATCAACCATATAGATTTTGCCTTATAGCTTCGTAATTCACTGGACTGCCGCAATCATACTCATACTGATAATTCTATACATTGTATATTACCATTAGAATACATCAAAGTTGATGTGATGGGCTTAGGAAAAATATTGTGCACTTTTCCTGACGCAAATTCCTATCAACCATATAGATTTTGCCTTATAGCTTCGTAATTCACTGGACTGCCGCAATCATACTCATACTGATAATTCTATACATTGTATATTACCATTAGAATACATCAAAGTTGATGTGATGGGCTTAGGAAAAAGATTGTGCACTTTTCCTGATGCGAGTTCCTATCAACCATATACATTTCGCCATATAACTTCGTAATTCACTGGACTGCCGCAATCATACTCATACTGATTATTCTATACATTGTATATTAGCATTAGAATACATCAAAGTTGATGTGATGGGCTTAGGAAAAAGATTGTGCACTTTTCCTGATGCGAGTTCCTATCAACCATATACATTTTGCCATATAACTTCGTAATTTACTGGACTGCCTCAATCATATTTATACTGAGTGTTCTACACATTGTATATTACCATTAGAATACCTCAAAGTTGATGTGATGGGCTTAGGAAAAAGATTGTGCACTTTTCCTGATGCGAGTTCCTATCAACCATATACATTTTGCCATATAACTTCGTATTTCACTGGACTGCCGCAATCATATTTATACTGAGTATTCTACACATTGTATATTACCATTAGAATACCTCAAAGTTGATGTGATGGGCTTAGGAAAAAGATTGTGCACTTTTCCTGACGCAAATTCCTATCAACCATATAGATTTTGCCTTATAGCTTCGTAATTCACTGGACTGCCGCAATCATACTCATACTGATAATTCTATACATTGTATATTACCATTAGAATACATCAAAGTTGATGTGATGGGCTTAGGAAAAATATTGTGCACTTTTCCTGACGCAAATTCCTATCAACCATATAGATTTTGCCTTATAGCTTCGTAATTCACTGGACTGCCGCAATCATACTCATACTGATAATTCTATACATTGTATATTACCATTAGAATACATCAAAGTTGATGTGATGGGCTTAGGAAAAAGATTGTGCACTTTTCCTGATGCGAGTTCCTATCAACCATATACATTTCGCCATATAACTTCGTAATTCACTGGACTGCCGCAATCATACTCATACTGATTATTCTATACATTGTATATTAGCATTAGAATACATCAAAGTTGATGTGATGGGCTTAGGAAAAAGATTGTGCACTTTTCCTGATGCGAGTTCCTATCAACCATATACATTTTGCCATATAACTTCGTAATTTACTGGACTGCCTCAATCATATTTATACTGAGTGTTCTACACATTGTATATTACCATTAGAATACCTCAAAGTTGATGTGATGGGCTTAGGAAAAAGATTGTGCACTTTTCCTGATGCGAGTTCCTATCAACCATATACATTTTGCCATATAACTTCGTATTTCACTGGACTGCCGCAATCATATTTATACTGAGTATTCTACACATTGTATATTACCATTAGAATACCTCAAAGTTGATGTGATGGGCTCAGGAAAAAGATTGTGCACTTTTCCTGATGCGAGTTCCTATCAACCATATACATTTTGCCATATAACTTCGTAATTTACTGGACTGCCTCAATCATATTTATACTGAGTATTCTACACATTGTACATTACCATTAGAATACATCAAAGTTGATGTGATGGGCTTAGGAAAAAGATTGTGCACTTTTTCCTGATGCGAGTTCCTATCAACCATATAGATTTTGCCTTATAGTTTCGTAATTTACTGGACTGCCTCAATCATATTTATACTGAGTATTCTACACATTGTACATTATTATTAGAATACCTCAAAGTTGATGTGATGGGCTTAGGACAAAGATTGTGCACTTTTTCCTGATACGAGTTACTATCAACCATTTACATTTTGCCTTATAGCTTCGTAATTCACTTGACTGCCTCAATCATATTTATACTGAGTATTCTACACATTGTATATTACCATTAGAATAGCTCAAAGTTGATGTGATAGGCTTGGGAAAAAAGATTATGCACTTTTTATGTTCGGAGTTTTAATTGATCGCGTTATGTTAAGCCATAGCTACGTATAATGTACACTATGGTCTCAAATATGCCCTTTAAAATACGTCAATTAATTAGTTTTAACTTGTATACACGTTTTATCAATGTATAATTGACATTATATAAATATAAAAACATCATTTCGCACCGTATTGGCATTGAATTGTGTTTCCGACATCCCTGCAAAACACGTTTGTGGCGTCCGCAGGCGTACCAACCCACATCTATTACAAACCGAAAAAGCGCCGATGAAAAGAGCCGCTAACTTCACGAGGGTAAACGTGTGGGTGTGCGTAGCGAGCGTTTCGGGGCAGGAATTGGACTAGCCTACTGCGCATGCGCAAACCGTAAAATTGAGCTGATCTCAAATGAACGACTCTCACACAATTGAAGCAAAAGAGTTGTTTACTGTTCTCGTTCTGTCGTTCTGTCATCATCTGTCTGCCCCTGCCGTGCCCCAGCGATTGTAGTTTTCAAAGTCTTTAAGCTGTGTTTTTTTTTTTTTTTTTTTTAATAATTTGAGGTTTTATCGAAGTATCGTATATGTTTTGAAGTCGGATTTAAGATTTAAGTGTATAAAAGAGAGTGTTTATTGTTATGCGTTCTACCGTGCCATCCCCGTGCACCCTTGTAAGTTAAAGTTAGTTTTTATACTGTAGGCCTAGTCTTTAAAAGTGTTTGTTGTGTTTTGTTCCAAGTGTTGTCCAAATAAAACAAGGATACAGTTTCTTAACTGGGCTACACTAATAACGATTGAAACTATCGATTCGATTAGTAAACTGCGATTTTTTCACCATCAACAAGTTAGGTTAGGTTATGACAGATTAATTTTATAATAGACATAATATTTTAAGATATCGATTATTAATCAAGATTTCAATTCGATAGTTCCAATCGATATTAGCGTAGCCCAGTTAAGAAACTGTTGTACCCCTGTAGGGTCACACAGTTAGGACTACAGTACCGACATTTCCCATAAACATTGCAAAAGGACAAATCTTATAATTATATAACTGTCTAGGCTGTGTGGTAAAAGGCACTTAAAAATAAGTTACCAAGCGGTGTAACTTTCGTATTAGAAACCCTTGGGTGAGTTGTATAAAGGCCTACTAATCTTTAGGTTGACACATTTAAACCTATAGCCTGTAAACCATTATCTGTTTGGAAAAAAGTCTATGCCGTAGACTAAATATGGTCCTTAGCCAATTAAATGTGTAGGCTAACTAACTAACATTTAAATAACTTAGGCCTTGGCTAGGCTTTGCATTACCCTGGCGTAGGGCAAGGCTAGGTTCCGCTATCGATAGACAGGCCTACACTATAGTACCCTATTAGGTTACTATATTATAATACTATTGGTTTTAATTTTTTCATTTAACGCAATCTATCCAGCTATGGCTGGGCAACGATGAAGAACCGGTAAAGGTAGGCCTAAAGGTATATTGGGTCTCTCACTCTTTGGCAGTTTCCTGTTAAAGGGAACATTCATTATTATCGATGATTTCTTTTCGATATAAGCTTATCAATATTTTTGTTTTACTTCATGATTCATAACTTATTCCTTCTGTTATCTTCAAACACATTTAAATTATCTACTAATTTAGAAGTAGGCCGAACCTTGTTTAGGCAAACATTAAATAGCCTATTTTATTGGATTATAAAATCAAACTAAGCTAATCTAACCTAAGTTATAACATAACTAACCAAACTTGCTGTATAGGCCATGTTACCGTTTCAAAATTCCGTTTAATAACAGAAAAGGAATGGAGAATGGCTGTTTAACGGACAGAAAAATAAAATTTTGATATTCGAAAAGAAATTATCTACATATAATAAATGTTCCCTTTAACAGGAAAGTACCCATTCTTTACATTATACCATAGACAAAAAGAATTAAATATAGACCGTCAGCTGTGCTGCGGTTACCATAGGTTCTGGCGCACACCGCTTGGAGCACCACGGTAGTTACGGCGTACACGCTACGTAAACTACAGCGGTGTGCGCCGGAACCTATGGTAACCATGGCAACCGCAGCACGGCTGGTAGTCTGTATATAATTCTTTTGGTCTATGATTATACTTGCTACTCATACACACATATAGTCTCTAACTTAATAAGAATGCTGTAACCTTTTGAAAGAGGCATTTTCTCGCGCTGTTGTAATAGTCAGAATATTAAAACATCGTTTGTTTAATTTAAATAGCGGTTTGTTTGAAGTTATTTAGAGTAACATGGCCATGAGAAACATGCTATTTGAAACTCCAACGACAGGAAAATATACGTTAAGTTTTATAAACGATTAAATTGTAGGCTAGTTATTTGTAGCGGCCAAAAACTGTTGTCCCGTTACCTACTTTTAGGAATAAACAATCTGTCCTCTACTTAGTGATGTAAAAATCATTATACAGGTTGTTATGGTCATATTATTATAAAGATCAAAATAACTAGGCCTACAATTTATTCTTTAGTTGGGGTAATTTTGATGAAACAAATAACAATACATTTACAGTCTTCATTTTATGCTAGAATGTTTTACTATAAACAATGTAGGCTATTAAGAACTGCAGTAAAGTCCTTTAGACAACCTGCAATATCAGTACCTTCAATATATATTGGGTGAAATATCAGTTCGTTATACAAATAGTACTTTATATTATTCCCTGCGATATAAATTCCGATTTTTGTTTTGAGTATTAAAGTTACTGTATCGTGATATGAATATTTAAAGCCATAGACTCTTTTCAAATAGACTTTCACACTGTGCTGTGGTGGTTAAACAAGGTTAGTTCAGTTTGGTTTAACTTAGTTTATGTTAATAAAAACCAGATAACACCTAAATAAATAGCCTACAAATTGTTCCAATAGTATCATCATTGGGTTGGGTTAGTGTTGTACAGTTTTCTATCAAAACTGATTGTCAAAAGCGCCAAATTATACCTAGTCGTGTCTTTTCATGAGTAACTTAGCTTATAGAAAAAAGCTAAACGTTTTGTTAATGATACCTTGTTTGTTTATAAACTATAGGCCTACCACTTTCAAAAGAACCTGCGCAGAACCATGGCTGTCTCGCGCATGTAGGAGTGAAGGGTGATGGTGGGGAAGGGCCTGGAGCAGTGGTGGGGATAAGTCGTTGGGGCGAGGTGTCTTTCCCCACCACTCTGTCTCTCCTGCTGTCCTGCATGCACGACTCATACAGGTGCGTGGTTTTTTCTATGTGGTAGGCCTATAAGCTAACATAACCTAAACGCCGCAATGGTCTGTAAAAGATTGGCGGGTGGTCCTCTTTTTAAAAAGACCATAGGCTAACAGATTAATAAGCAGGCCTATTTCTTAATCAATATATTTTATATAAATTTGAAGCTATTGTCAGTAAACCTATTAATTTATAGAAACTGAAAATTTGATAGGATAGTATAATACATTAAAGTTTCTCTGCCGAACTTTACCCCATAACATTGCTGTTGCAGTGCAATGTAATTTTCAGAATCAGTCTTCTTCGCTTTGTATTTAGGCTAAGTAAAATTGATTTTCCTTGCTGCATATTAGGGAACATTATTACTATGTCTCAACTTGTTTAGCAGTAGTCAATTTGCATATAGGCTAGGTCTGTCCTCAACACTGGCTGTAGATAGTATTGTAAATAAGATCTTAAATGCTTTAGAAGATAGGTGTTTTGCTCAGATCACATTATGTGATCTGAGTAAAGCTTTTGATTGTGTTCAACATGGTATCCTCTTGGACAAACTATCTCATTACGGTTTTCAAGACAGTGAATTAAATATGTTTGTGTCTTACCTTAAAGATAGAAAACAGGTAGTAGAAGTAAATAGTCAGAGATCGCAGGTCACTGAGGTCAAATATGGAGTCCCACAAGGTTCGATAATGGAGCCTATCTTATTTTTAATTTTGATGAATGATTTGTCTTTCAATGTTCCTAGTAGTAGTAGTGTTTGTATTTGACACCACTTTGTACAGTAGTCATTTAGATTTAGAAAAATTGCAATGTTTAAACGAACAGGCTCTAAATGAAGCAACAAAATGGTTTACCTCTAATGGTTTAAAGCTGAACACCGACAAAACCGATTGTTTATTAATCTCTACTCATGATAATGTTAGCTATAACTATGTAAAATTACTGGGTATACACATTGATAGTAGGTTATCTTGGCAGCAGCATATAGACTCTATTTGTGCTCGATTATCCAGAGTGGTTTGCCTACTTAGTAATTTAAGAAATCATGTAACTGACACTTATCTAAAATTAGCCTACTTTGCATTCTTTGAAAGCATTATTAGATATGGCATTGTTATTTGGGGAAATGGAGTAGGAATTACAGATGTTTTGAAAGTACAAAAGAAGGCGATAAGGATTGTGACTGGTAGTAGAAAACGAGACCATTGTAAGCCATTGTTTGTAGAATTAGATATATTAACTGTAATTAGTCTGTACATATATGAAGTGTCTATTTTTGTTAAAAAAAACTACCACAATTATGTAATTAGAGATAGTGTCCATAGTTACCAAACAAGAAATAGAGGTACATTAGATTTAGATAGAGTAAGGCTGTCAAGAACTCAGAATTACCATACCTACTTGGGTCTTAAAATATTTAATAAGTTTCCTGTTGATTTTAGCTCTTTGCCTTTAAATGTTTTCTCTGACAAACTGTTAAAGTGGTGTAAAATCAATCCAATGTACAAAATAGATGATTTTTTTGATGTTAAATTCAAAAACAAGGACCTAGATTTTAAAAAGTAACTTTTATATATTCTGTCTGACGAAATCTATTGTAATTTTGTAATTACTGAACGATGAATAAATTGTCTATTGTCTATTGTCTATGTTTAATAGCCATGATAAGGTACAGTAGACTCCCTCTTATTTGGACACCTTTTAACCTGACATCGGTTAAACCAGACAACACTCGGTGGAAATTACATCTCTTAAGGCCTATTTTGCTTGGAGCGACTGTAGCGATAATCGCACAGCGATTATCACTCAGCTACTATAGCTGACAAGGCGGCCGTTTTGCTTAGAGCGATTGATTTTCGATCGCACAGCGATTTTTCATAGTTAGTTAAATATCAGCACTCACAATGGTGAAGTCATGAGTGCGAATTGTAATTCATTAAAGCGTCTCCTCGGTGAGGATTTAGGAGACGAGGCTCCACTCGACCCTAGTGGAAGTATCAATGGACGATCGATTGAAAATACATAGTGATACGTAGGATTAGGGACGGATACGTATCACTAGGACATAAATAGAAAACTGTAGTGATATCAATGAAAAAATATATTTATATAAATAAAAAAAATAGTGATATCAATAAGAGTACATGAATGTCGGAAAATAAAACCTGGAGTCTAAATAAAAATTTTAAAAATATTCATACAAAAACTGACACAGTATTAACGCCCACACTACGTAAATAACACATAACAACTTGGAACAGTCAAGCATTTTATATTTAATAAATTTGAATAGACGTAAATTATCTTAACAAATTTAAACAAGTCGCCTGTTTCTACTAAAATTTAATTTAGAAAATGAAATTAATGTGTAATGAAATATAACCAAAACAGTAGAATCGTAACAGCAAATGAATAGAAAAATTAATGTGAACAAAAAAGTAAATTATGGTTAATTTAACCCCTATTATGTGCCTACTGAGTGAATTGCACTGTTTTGAGGTTCTGCGCATCAGTCGCGGCTCACTCGTGTGGTGGCCCAAGATGGACTCAGTGTCGGCGGTGAGAGATCTGGCTGCCGTCCAAAGACTCGCCTGTCTCATCATCACGGGCGCAATGAGCAGCTGTCCGGGAGCCTCACTGGACTGCCTTCTCAACCTCACTCCGATTGACCTGCATGTCAAGGTCACTGCGAGGAGGACTGCCTACAGACTCCAGTGTGAAAACCTTTGGTTGGATGTTGGAGGATCCCGAGGTCACTCTCGGATCACTCAGCAGGTAAGAGGGGAGGTAATGGACATGCCCTCGGATCACATGCCGACTCGATTCTTCTTCGCCAGACCATTCACTGTCCTCCTTCCGTCCAGGGATGAGTGGATGTCCGGTGGGAATCCTCTTCCACAAGGCGACCTTGAATGGTATACTGATGGTTCTAAGGTAAGAAGTGGGACTGGGGCTGGAATTCATGGAGTGCAGAACGGGGTGGACATTTGTCTTCCTATGGGCACTCACCCAACTGTGTTCCAGGCCGAAATGACTGCGATTATGGTATGTGCTAGGGAAAACCTGAGGCTAGGCTTCAGGGACATCAACATTTCCATTTTCACAGACAGCCAGGCTGCGCTCAAAGCGCTTGATTCCTATGAATTTAATTCTAAGGTGGTCTGGGACTGCCTTTCTGCGGTATGTGACCTGGGCAGGCGCAACAAGGTAACGCTCTGTTGGGTTCCTGGGCACTCAGGAATAGAAGGGAATGAGGTGGCTGACAGGCTAGCAAATGTCGCGTCAGCCTCAGACTTCGTGGGACCACAGCCTTTCTGTGGAATCTCTCGTGGGCATGCATGTCACTCAGTCATGGCATGGGCTCAGGAGGAACACAGGAAAAGATGGGTTAGGCTTCAGCACCATAGGGTAAGTAAGCTCGAACCCTCTTCTCTCCTTCCCAGACGGTCGCCTCCAATGCCCTACGCTTGGACAGGAGGCGACTCAGACAGATCACAGGAATGGTCACTGGACATGGCTTTCTGAAATTACACCTGCATCGCTTGAGGATCCACAATGGTGACACTGCGTGTAGGAAATGTGGGCAATCAGAGGAGACTGCTGATCACCTACTCTACGACTGCACAGCTCTGAATGAGGTAAGGGACAGTACTCTTGGTGTAATGACAAGGGGCAGACACCTTCCTCAGGAGGAGCTCATTGACAGGATGCTTGAGTTCATTAAGCAACTCAGGTTTGACGGACTCTGAAGTACCATGTGGGGAGCGCAAAAAGCCCATCAGTGGCTGACGTGCAACAGGACAAGGTCCGCCCCTACAGAATCAATCAATCAATCAATCAATCAGTCGCGGCGTGATTATCGCTCAGACTGGTCCCCGGGGCAGTGGTCCGCGACTGTAGCTAGCGACTCTTGCGATAGTCGCTCCAAGCAAAACAGGACAACGCAAACTCAGTCAGAGCAGTGCCCGGCTACTATCGCGGAGCGATTATCGCCACGTGTCTATCACTGCAATCGCTCCAAGCAAAATAGGCCTTTAACCGGGCAATTTTTATCAGCACATCGGTTTAACCGGACTAGGTCGGCAGGAAGTGGGAGGTAAGCGTTACTGAAACGACTGTTCTTGTGTTAAGGATATGAGAACAGTGATTATGCTCTACTACATTTTAGTCAAATACTGTATATACAGTATGCATTTAAACGGTCAGTTTTAATGAGTTTGTGGGACGTCAGTTTAACGAGAAAACCCATTATCCGGACTGACCTCGGTCCCGAGAGTCTGGATAAGAGGGAGTCTATTGTAGGCTACTGTACATTTTACTATGTTATAGTGACACGAATAAAAAAAATAACAGCCAAAACTTCATGCAATAACCCCATAGTACCACATACAATATGTTTACTAGTGTGAACTACGCTGTAGGCTTCACATTGAATGTGTTGCCCATGTTTATTAAATTAACCTAAAACAGAGTTGTTTTGTTACAGAGTCATTGATTGAGGTGCTGGTGAACTGATTGAAGACTTAAAAATGTTTTGTTATTAGTGTGAGGTGTGATAGTACAGACTGTTGTGATAAATTACCACTGTTTATGATTTACTTTATATGTTTTAAAATAAATGTTCTACATAAACTATTAAAATTGAATGATCATTTACAATGCCACTATTTCCAGCTGTAATAATTTTTTTTATACTTCTTTTAATTATTTTTTACTTTGTTTCTAAACATAAGTTCTGATGTAGTCAATATTTGCATAATATGCACTTTCAAAAATATAAAATAGTAAACACAACAGCTTTTTATATACCATTGTTATTATTTATTGGTGTTTTGTATTGCAATAAGAATAAGAAAGTTTATTGCCATTGACCAAGTTGTACATCGTTAAGTTGCATGCGTAGTTGCAGATGCATTGGTCTGTTTAAATGTATAAAGGAACTAAAATAAAATCTGAAAATTCCAGACTAACATAAAGATTATTCAAACAAAGGAGGTTGAAGTATGTAAACAATTCCAAAAACTCTTATTTTGAATTTGGTAAGTTTAATTTGATACCAAATATCGTTGACCTTATTTCCTATATTTTCTCTGGATGGTATTTCAATTTATTTTATAGTTGCAATGATTCTGCTCCACTCAAATTCCAGGGCATGGACTGCAATCAATATCTGCCAACATCAAATTCGAGAAAATCTAAAAATTTGTTAACTCACTTGTATATACCATATAACATTTAAATACAACATGAAAAATAATAGGATTTCCTGGAATTTTTCTAAAATGTTTGAGATCATTATCAACATCCCAGGCAATTTCCTTGAATATACTCAGATCATTCATAAAAAATATTCAAAGAAAATTTTTATATAGCCTAGAAATCTGAAGAACATTCTCAGAATATTCTGGAAAAGTACTCTGAAATATTCATGATATATTCTGAACATATTAAGTTTAAATTATTAATTTTGTCAAATATCACAAAATAACTTGAAAAATACAAAAAAACAATGTTTTTAGGGTAAAAAATGGGAAAACTCAATTTTTAGTCCATTCCCATAGTTAGTATTAAAGTACCGAATAGGTACTTAAAATGCAACGGATGATGGGGGTGACAGAGATGACTGACTCAAGTCGTCAATCGTCAACGAACGGAGGTAGCTAACAGCAGAACAGAACTGAAACTGAACTGAACTAGTAAGTTATGACTCCTGAGTCGACTCGTTGAAGACCAAATACAACTGAATTGATTCTTTCTGGCGCATGCGCAGTAGGCTAGTCCAATTCCTGCCCTGAAACGCTCGCGTGTGCGTATGTGAAGTGAACCCTATTAGCACGAAGGCACCAGCACCATGAAGCCTCACAGCACACTTGTTTGTACGGGGACCTGGAAAATGATCTATGCTAGGAATTGTAAGACAATATGTTTGATTTTAACGTACAGTATTTTTACAGCGTGTTCTTTGCTCTTTCGTTATATTGCCCGAGTAAAAGACAGTGATTACAAATAAGTTAAACTTTTTCATGTTATTACTTATTGGTATTAAAGTAGCTTCAATAAAAAAAATCTTAAAAATTAGCTCAAAATAGAAAAATGGAATAAACCTTACAGCTTATAGTGATGAACTGGATAAGGGTAAAAACCGTCTGTGCGGCGTTAAGGCCAGCAGCATGTGTCTAAGGAGGACAAGGAAGAAGTGGAGGACCTTTAGAGAGTTTGAAGATGGGGCTGGAGTACCAGTTATTTATTAATTTAAATAACAAATGTTTTATTATTTTTCCATGTCAAAATTGATTATATTAAAGTGTTTTACTTTACTTCGAAATAACCTATGATCAAAAGCTCTTTTGATATTCAAGATTTTACATGCAAGCACTGTCTCATAATTATTAAATTATTATATGGTAATAAAGCTCCACAAGGCATCTCACTTTAGCCACCTCGTTCTACCTTTGACTAGTTCCACTCACTATTGCTATATGTTTTATTTTCAATATATTAATAAATTTATGTTAATAAATTAAAATTTAAATCAATAAAGTGCGAATTAATGAGCTGTCACCTGTCTGCCATGGGACGTCTGTCACTAAACAACACCACTTGCGACGTTGCCAATTCTACCAGGCCGCGGCCTGTAGTTAAAGGTAGCCGTTATTATTTATATATAATAATATGTATTATTTACTTTATATCTGACTTTATATTTTACATCTGACTTTATATCTAAAGGGTGTAGATATTAAAGTCAATGCTATGACTGACCGATGTTAGTGTTCCCTAGGCTGTGGCAGAACATAGAATTTCCTCGAATCCTGTCTGTCACACTCACATATCTTTATTTTTCTTGTTTTGTTTTGTTGCTCATCATTCATCACATCATCAGTTCATTTCAGTCAGTTCTCAGTTCTCCAGTCTCCAGTCCAGTGGTCCAGTCGTCCAGTCTCCTCAACATCCAGGTCCAGGTTAGGAAAAATACGATATTATAGTCGTAAATTAACTATATACATTAAATTAGCTTGTTAAGTGTAAATCGTTACTATAGTAAGCTACTTGCATGTATATAATTTCAAGCGTTTGCTGAATATATCCCAATGCAACTTAATAAAATGTATTAATTCCCTATTGTACTTGCATCAATGCAATGGATGATTTTATTTATGGTGAGGTAAGATTCAGTTTTTGTTCAGCCAGGCCTAGGTTTGCAAAAACTCTGATAAATTGTTGACAAAAGTATCAGATTTTGTAGCTATTTTTAACTTATCAGTAGATTTAAATACCTCAGAGTACCCTCTATTTTTTTCGACTTGGATTTCTGGGATATTAGGTCTAAGTTACCAATCATTTTCCATAGGGAACCAATTTTAGTTATATCTAGTGATGGAACTATCCGATATAAACAAACGATTCATCCGGTTGTTGCGCGCCAACCGATTCATCCGATTGCTACTTTAATTTTCATCCAGATGAACCATCCATTCTATCACATGTGAATCAGCCAAATCAACTTTCTCGTCTGTCTGTAAACCACCCATTCCACATTTTCATTCAATTGTAAAACTATCCGTGTCTCATTTTTATTCGTTTAAACTAGGAATTAGTTATTTGACAACTGAAACGGTTCTTTATTGAATGGTGAAATGAATATTTTGTTTATTTACCCAATGAGTTAATTTGTTTAGTCTACTTTATTTATCTACACGGGGATATTTATGGGTTATTTATTCATCCATTCTCAGCAGGTAAAAATGTATCTGCTCATGCTCAGCTCAGCACAACAGTAACTTAAATAAGTTACATTCGGGCAGATAATAATTACGTACGTAGGGTAGGCCTAGTTGAAATTATGAAGACTGTTTAATTTTTCCAAACAGCCTTGATACCTTTTAGACGTAAAACTATTAAGTGAGTAAATATCCAATATACCGAGTGGTCATAATTTAAGCCACATCAAAAGATTAAATAATTTTCTCCTTAAGTAGGCCTATTGAATATCAAACCATAAGAAAACATTAGTTATTTATTTTTAAATCATTTCAACAAATGAAAAATAAATAAATATATATATATATATTTATTATAATAATATAATAACATAGGAGAGTAATTTTCTAACAGTAGGCCTACATGTTAGCTCTTTAATCATGCAAAACATATATTTAAATCTATTTATTCATGCAAGGGTAAATTCTTCTAAACATGGCACTGGATAAGAACGCCAAATTCCACAATACCAAAACTATCTGGGTACCTATCTGATTAGGCGCGCAAACTGATGGTTTATCCATTCATTCTCTAGTCGGATAGTTTTATCTGTTTCCGGAAGCAGCACGGTCGCTCCCCACCCCACTACACTAAACACCAAGTTATTTTGTGCAATTCAGTGGTAACCATCCCACACAGGTTTTGACCTCGGGATGCAGACTTGATCTGTTCCAAAGTGTGAAAGTGTGTTTTTTATAAATTTACAAACAGAATTAACAATTTAATTTGAAACATGTAATTTATTTAGTATAGCTTGAATAGGCCTACTCTGTAATATCATGTAAAGAGAACAATAAAGAAAGCTAGAGAGTTTCATACTCCGAAAATTTGCCGCCCTAGGCCGCGACCTTAATTACTCTGCCTATTGGGGGCCCTGTTTGTCAGTGTAACTCGTTAAGGTAATGGGAATCTAAATTGTTTGACTTGTGTCTGTCAGTCTTAAAAATAGTCTGGGAATGACTAACTTAAACTTTGGGTCAAAGCCCCATTAAACTGATCAAATTCTCATCAATTTAATTAGGCCTAGTCTACAAATCCGACTAAGTCTTTGTCAAAATGGAAACACAGGTCAACACATAAAGTTCATATGTGTCATAAAGTTATGCGCTCACTTGCCTTCAGGTTAGCTCGTTCGCTACGCTAACTCGCCTCCAGGTTGAAGTTCGTTCGCTACGCTCCCTCACCTTTTGGTTGGAAATTAGCTGTTGTCATAAATTAAAAAAATAATAATAGTGCTGCACCCTGTTGGTAATCCTTGTAACTTTTATGCTATTGAACATCATAGAAAAGTGCCCATTTCCCAATCCACGTTAGAAAGACCCAATGTTGAGCAATAAAGTGATAGCAATTGTCGTGAATAATTTGCATCCTGTCATAATTCGGCTAAAAATGATAGTTATGAAATACTAGTCATTGGAAAAACCCATTGAGTCACAATTTAATGAGATGACTCATCAAACATACATATGGAGTTTTGCAAATTTGAAATAGGGGGAGTAACAAGTTCAGTAACAATTGAAAATAGCTGTTACACTGTTGGGCCTAACTGCATTAATTTAATCAAAGAATTTAATATCATTTTTTCAAATCATATAGGCTACTGTAATGCTGGCCTTACTTTAATGATCTCTGTGACCCTAACGAAGGAACATGATACTTCTTATTGGTTATTTGATCCACATAGCAGAATTCCTTCAACCGAAACTAAGTGCAAATGTTTTAATGTTAAAATTTTGGATGTTGTAACAGTTTCATGTAACTGACTCCGTTACAAACTCTCTACTCAGATTAATGATGAACATTTTTCATTTCATTGCCAATTCCTTTTTTACAATCAGCCCAATAAATGTGTCCAATCAATCGCAAGAGTTGCCAACACACACTATCTATGAATGTGATGCAGAGGTAAAACAAATAGGTAACAAAGGCTAGAAGCAATTATTGCTATTGCTGAGCTGAATGCAGAGAAGGACAATACCAAAGATGACAGACTTAAAAAAACTTGAAAATGAACCAACTGTCGCATCAAATATTAAGTCAACCACCATGATAGAAAATCATTTTGCAGCTTTTAGTAAATCGTGATAGACTGGTAACTGGCAAAATTAACAACATTCTCGGGTTAGCAGGCAATAGAGTCCACAACGATCAATTGAATTTCAGCTTCAAGGGTTAACAAGGCAGGCCTGTTAGAGTCAAGACCAAAAGAAAATTATTAAGCTTATTTACTTTAACCCTTCAGTGCTATGCAGCAATATATCGTTGTGCGTCTTTTTCCTGAAAAGTGCTATGGAACTATATATCCTTGTTCGTGTTTCATCTGAAAAGACGCTATATCGTGCCGGCGCGACTTTCGATCGAGTGAGTTTAAATTGGCATATCGGTTGACTCGGTTGTTGTTTTATCGTTCCTTAGCACTTTTAAGATGGAAAATTTTATTTTTACAAATTTTTTTTTCTCACACATTAGACTTTGCCCCCGTGGCAAGCCTAGCACTTTTTGGACAAAACAAGTACGGTAAATAACTCCAGCATTTTTCAGAAAATTACAAAAAAATTCTAGCATTGAAAGGGTTATATGTAGTAACAAGACAGTTTTGTCGAATATTAAGAATCATTATAAAAAGTAAATGATATTGAAAATGCAAGTCGTAATAGAAATATGAATTAATCTAGAAATATTTGTTTAGGGGTGCGAGCTTTTGTGGTTAGAGCGTGGGACTTCGGTACTGGGTTCAAATCCCGCCAAATCACAAATGGATTTGATCGAAGTGATGATGCCGCAACCACGTTGCGTTGTTATGGATTGGTCTAGCTTAAAGTAATGTGAAAAACAATCCCGAGCTCATGCCTAGCATCCTAAACAAATCTAGAAATATTTTGAATCTCATTGAACCTACTCTGTGCACTATGACCTATGCACACATATTATTACTTATTTACTAATATAATAAAATTTGCTTTAATAAGATTAGATTGACATGAATATACAAAACTGTCATATCAATGTTTTTACAGGTAGGCTGTAATGGATGATTAAACTGCAAAATTAAAATCAGAATGGGCAGGATTTTGGAAGCAACTCTAGTGCTGATATTTATGCAGTGCTACTTTACTGCCCAGTCTGCAAAATCTGATGATTCAATTTTCACAACCCAACGACAGACTTCAGAAAGGAGTAAAATCCGCAAACATCAACAGCACTCTTCTCATTTCTCGTCTAAGGAAAGAAAACCCAATATAATTTTATTTTTGACTGATGACCAAGACGTGGAGTTAGGTAATTGATATTTTAATATTGAAATCAAGCTTAGTATTTAAGTTGTGTCCAAGTTGTTATTTAAACTAGTGTACATGTTGCTCGAATTCGAGCAATTGCAAAGTATTACAGGAGATATTTCAAAACGAATAACAGTCATATTTACAATGAGTTTAAAAGAGTCAACTCAAAGATTACCGGTGGGTAACTCATGGAGATACTCATGATGTATATAACAGTAATCAACATTTCCTGTAAATATTGTATCATATTTCATAACTTGGTATTGCTTTATAATGTTTTCTACAAATATTTCCTGACTTATAGCCATATAAGGTTGTCCATGTTTATCTTCGTTATTGATAGCCTAAACCTAAAGCATTCCGGCCGGTTTTCTCCTTCTCAAAATGCCTCGCTGTACAGGCAACACAGGTCATTGATAGAGGGCCAATTGAGGACGAAAAGTCGTTTTGGGGTAGTGTTAGGGTGCATTTGTAACCTAATAGTTGAGATTGTCCAGGGTCAGGTGCTGACTGTGATGAGTTAAGCCTATTACGCGCCACTGTTCTGTAGCTACGGTCGTTATCACGATTATGCCTCCTGTCTATGTTTCGTTGTTGTCGCATCTGAGGCATTTTAAAGAAAAAACAACAAATAAACATATTATAGCTATACAAAACAACGATAAATGCACAAATTTAAGATACAATCATGCTAACACGATCCGTCATAGCAACACAAAACAACGATATATACACAAATTTAAGATACAACCACACTAACACGATTCGTCTTGGGGGTTATGTTTACACAAACTCAAATAGTAAATAAATGTACTCAATGTGTTTCATTGAAATAAAAAATAAATAACAGCAATTAAATTATACAGCTGATGATCAAAATATAAACAATTAAGTTATCCATAAGGATAACATGGGAACTTTCAAAGCCACTGGGGCAGAGCCATATAAAAAATGTAAGGCCAGTTTGCAAATCTACGCGACACGCTCTTTCCAATGAGACGTCAATGGATAAAATCGGCTAAGAAATGGTGGAGGAGTTCAACCGACAAAGTTTCATGTAGCGTATTAATTATATAGATTAACAAAATATATTTATTGCTAGCTTTCGGAAACGTTGAAAATATATAACTTATCCTTTCAGGATAAAAACACATTCAACATTGTGTTTACTTATCAATTTATCTCTTAGACAGTGTGTACCTATACAAAGTTTCATAATTTCATTAATGACACATTATTTAAAACCCAATTCTATGCTAAGTTACAGTCCCTTGTAGTAAAAACTTTTGACCCCACACTAACTTGTGTTTATTCAACTTTTACGCCAAATTTATTTAATTACTTCAGTTGAGGTATATTCAAAGGAACCACAGTTATTACACTCTACTTGATAATAATGAGTTTTGGTTGAGGTTTGGCTTGATAATAATGAAATTGGTTGGTTTCTTGGTGCCAATGCAGGGAATGAAATTCACAACTACCAACAAAAGTTATTGTCCTTCTTGGCTCCATAGTTTCCAAGTGGTTCCATGTAGGCCTAACTATGCATTGTAATGTTCCGGCTCACTCTCAGTAGAGAAGATGGGGTTGGTAATGCTATGTGGATAAGGTCAATCTTCCTCTAAAGGCACCTAGATGATCTGTAGTAGGGTATTCCTCAACAGTACTTCTTGTTATGTTTTAAGGACAGAAAAAGTACTTGGAGATACAACCGGGGAACTTGTCTGACCCAATGGTATACTCCAATAGTAAGACAGACGATTTAATTGTAATTTTGTATGGTTTATTATGTCAGGGTCTCTGAACTACATGCCAAAGACGCTTCGGCTGTTGCGAGATGGAGGGGCTGAGTTGCGTCACGCGTACACGACCACACCAATGTGTTGTCCAAGTCGCAGCTCTCTACTGACTGGCCTCTACATACACAACCACCACGTGTACACCAACAACGACAACTGCTCCAGTCCTCAGTGGCAAGCGACGCATGAGACTCGCTCCTTTGCTACCTACCTCAGTAACGCTGGCTACCGAACAGGTACACGAGTCAATCAGAATAAATCAAATATCTATAATCTTTGTATTTTCCCTTGTTTCATTTTGATCAAGTGTTAACTGCTTTAATATTAAAGTATTTAGTGCTGAACTAAAATTAAAACCTACTAAAATGTTTAAAGTAAAAACTACCTAACTTATCAGCTGTGAAAATCTATACTATTCAAAAATTGAGGTGGTGTCTGTTTGCCTGTGCGGCTGCCACGACTAAAATACTAAACCGATACAGCCAAAATTAAACACACTATAGTCTCTACATATCTAGGAATGTCACAGGCCTATTCACTTCCCTGAGTTCCTCTCGGGCTACGCCCCTTGGATGTCCAAAGTTTTGAGGTGAGGTTTTCAAAAGTAAATATTAAATTGGTCTCCATGTGAGCATGAGAAAATTCACAACCTTTGTTTACCTTTGTGTTGAGATTTCAATGTAAACAATCTGAACTGTTGAATGCTTATTTGACAATTTCAGACAGCTGATCCAAACAAATAAAAAAAAAAATATTTTACACAATTATTTATCAAACAATGTCATTGATTATGGAATTAAAGAAAGATTCTATAACCGTAAGTTATGACAATTATGTTATTGATACGTTTCAATGTTAAGAGTAAGACAATTCAATGTAGGTCATACTTTTTTGTATAAATTTGGTGGCTATTTGTTTATAAATTCGAACTACTTAACAAGTGTTGTGTTTGGATTAGGCGGTATAGTAGGCTACATCTTCCCGTTGCGAAGCACGGGTACAGAAGCTACTAGTTATATTATATTATTATATTACAATTGAGATAGGGACACCAACTAGGTGTGTATTTATCCCAAATATGAGTGAACTAGCGGAATACCCGTGCTTCGCAACGAAAACTTTCAAATTGGTTGAAATTTTTAATAAATTATTGTTTAAGTGCCAAAAACGTTCAGTCAATTCAGCTACAAATTTTTTTGCTCCAAACTATATCATATTAAAGCAGCTATTATATTGGCTCACCCGGTCCACAAAGTGTGTATGCTCAGGGTGGTTGCCCATGACCAGACTGCAGACTGTATGGTTCAGGTAGGTGCTGCAAAGATAGTAGTTGCACTTTACCATCATTGCAGCATATGCCCTGTTTTTCTCCTTTTTTTCTCTCCTCGCTGTACTTACATTTGAACGTCATGGTGGCTATCCCAACCAAGCTATTTCCTTCATAGTCTATTTTCTTATTATATGTCATTGCTGATAGATTTTTCACCATCCATTGAATCTTTGGTCTTTCAGTATAAGTTTGTTCATACTTTTGCTTGCGTTCTTCACCTACTTTTTCCTTTGTTTGTCTGTGCAGCTGCTACGCCGTTTACGCCTTGATGTATTTTGTTGAGATTCCGGGATCGGCTGACAATTGGGAGAAACGGGCTCTTTTCAAGCTCTAAAAAGTCGAAGTGCTCGCTAGACAGGGATTATGTAAATCTGAGTATTTTCACGGGATTGCCCGCTAGACAGGGATAGTGTAAATCTGAGTATTTTCACGGGAAAACGTTCACCACCAAACTTGACATATACGGTAATTCACCATTCCGATAAACCTCAAAAACATATGTGAATAGTTGTGAAGACGCAACCAGCTTACACAACCCACCAAAGGTAAACGGCTTAGACATTTCATAGAAGTATTCCCTAGAATTAAGGTAATTATTCCCGTCATTGTCGTGGGATAAGATTGAGACGTTGTCCCAGTTTCACACAACATGTGCAACAGTTACTTCGCGCACAGTTAGTGTGTGTATGTGTGTAAGGTGAATTATGAATAAGAGTGAAGTAAATAAACACGCACCATCTCCTCTGATGTGAATGATATTGTGTGGAACGAACTCACCAATAACATCCTCAGTGTCCATAACTACAAAAATATTAACAGAACTATATCATAAGTTATAACAAATTAAAATGCTATGAAAATAAGTTAAATTCTACTTTCTACAACACTAATCACATATATTAGAAGTTCATAAAATTAAAATGCCTCAATAAATTAGGTTAATTTCACTGACACACAACTATGATGTTTATATGGTCTGAAATACCTTAGTAAACTTAATTTTTATTCTAAAAGCTGATCATTAAATAAATTGCAGACAAATGTAAACAAAAACCCAAAACAAATTGTTCTTCCTATATGAACTCCATGGTAACTTTGACCTTCTGTGGGGCGGTCCCCATTGGGAATTTTGTAAAATCGCTTCTTATTGTCTGCCTACGCTACGAGAGGAATATGTATGCAACATCTCATGCTTCTAGGTGCTATGGTTTGGCCTGTGCGTTTGATCGGAATTTTGCATTTATATATAGCCTAGAGATGATAAGTTTAGAATTAAATGTGATGATTCAAGTAGCTTTTTACTAAGATCAGTTTCCTGGCTATAGGAATATGTAATTAAAGCCCAATGATCAGGAGCATCTGGGTCTAGTTTTGAACCATCAAAAAGCTACTGACCTTTCTCAGGATCTAACCTTTTGATTGTCAGGCGAGCACTATAACCACAGCTACCCAACCAGTTCCTCTTAGACGTGCTATAATAGCGTACCTAGATCAGACGCGCATACTGTACTAGTTTAATTTGATCATTCCCTAGAGAATTTTGGGATAGTGTAACTGAGGAAGTGTAAAGTAGGCTACCTAAGTTATTAGTCAGACAAAACTGAATCAAAATAACAACTAAAACATTGCAATTGGTCTGCACATGGATCAGCTAAACGTGTTACAGAACAAAATATTTAATTTTTGTTTTATTAATTTTATTTACTCACTAGAAGTCAAATGGATGCTTGAGACATCTCAGTTTTAACTGAGAGTATGGAAGTCTTCAGTCGGCAAGACACACTTTTTAACTTTTTCGATTTACTGAGATTGGGAGCTTAAGAACATATGAAGTGTTAATTTAGTAGTTTTTATGATAATCCGATTTCATATGATTCAATGTAGGCCTACAGTCTGTTTGTGAGTTTTCTGTGTACTACTATTAGACCTTGCTTGTTGTGGATTTTGAGAAATTGGAAATGCAGCCGTATTTACACTGTGAATCTTGAGAACCATTTTTTATATTAATGGGAAAAACTGCATTGTTGCTGTAATGTTTCTTGGCATATTTTTGTTTGGAATTGTGTCTGAGCTTCAAATAAACTGTTGGTGCAGGATATTTTGGAAAGTATCTGAACAAGTACAACGGGAGCTACATTCCCCCAGGATGGCGAGAGTGGGGTGGTCTCATCATGAACTCTCGTTACTACAACTACTCCATCAACCTGAACGGCAAGAAGGTGAAACATGGAGACGACTATACCAAGGTAAAGCAGTGTGAAAATTAGACCTCAATATTACAGAATATGTTTGCAGTTAAAACATAAACGTGAATAACGGCGTTAATCTAGTAATAAATTAACTTTGAAATCTTTGAATTTAATAATTGGATGTTAATCAAAATAGGCCTAGGTTAGTCTTCCAAGGGCTGAATGCTGGAACAACCTCGGCTTATTTAGGATCAAGGATTTAGTATAACAGGGAAAACTTAGATTCCAATGGGGCTGTACCTCTATGTAATATTACAAAATCCCAAATTAGCTGCTTTAGCATTATAGAGATGACGGCAATAGAAACTATCCAGATGTTGTATATTACTATGATGTCAGTTTTGACTTCAACAAAGTCATAACTACATTTGGTTGGTTGTGTTATGTTACAGGACTATTACCCAGACCTAATAGTGAACGATTCAATCTCATTTCTGCGCCAGTCCAAGCAGTTCTACAGCCGTAAGCCAGTGATGCTGGTGTTGAGTTTCCCGGCGCCCCACGGACCCGAGGATTCTGCGCCACAGTACTCTGACATGTTCTTCAACGTCACTTCTCACCAGTTAGTACCAAGTCATGTTGAATGTTGATACTAACCTAATGGCTTAATACATTTATCACAACTTTTGAACTTCTTGCTGTTGTATATTAAGTGATTTAATAATGCAGATAGATGTACTGCCCCTGCTTTTAGTTTTCAGGAGAACTAGGAGTTGACCATATCATTACATTCATATCCTCTTCCGAAATGGCTATTCATGATCTTGGACAAGACTAGGTGTCCACAGTTCTTTTTCCTCCACTAAGTAAATCTCAATTCTCTCTTTTCCACATTTATCTTTATTACTTCAATCTCCACCTCATCTATCCATTTTAGCGAATTTCTCCTATAGGGAATAAGCTATTACCGTAGTACTCATGGTAAGACCTGGACCTGGGACAAATTTACTTTTTCGTTTTGAGGTCCCTAGAGACCAAAAACACCATCCGTTCAAATTCATATATATATATATATATATATTTATATATGTGTCCGTTAGCGTGATAACTCGAGCAAAAATCATCCGATTTTGATGAAATTTGGTACAAACGTGTAAACCTAAGTTTATTCGAACGAGTTCGCGAACCAGCATGATCGGACTATGGGAACAGGGGTTTATGGGTGGTTTTATGGGATAAAAATTGGTTTTTCCCATTTTTGACCCTAAAAACTTAAATTGTAGCAATTTCTTTCCAAACTATTTTGTAGAGCTTAAAAAAACAAATAATTTAGTATATTGAAGCGTTGTTATGCGCCTAATGGTTACAGAGAAAATTCCAAAAATCTGTAAATTTAAAATTCCCATGTTATTCTTATGGAGAATAAGTAAACTGTTGAAGTTTGCTTGTTTATGAACATATTTTGATCAAATTTGGAAAATGCATTCATTTCATACAAAACTTTTACATTTTACAAAAAAATACCTTTTTACCCTCCCTGTTGCAGCAAACCTAACTCGTTAAAATAATGTTATTTAAATAGGGAATAAATGTGATATTTTTAAGGAGACACTTTAGTGGAAATCCAGTCAGGCAAATGGAAATTCGCTTAGTCCGCAGGTTTGCTGCGGCGGGGGTATTTATCTCCTCTCAGTCTCCTTCATCTTTCTCAATTTTCCACATTCCATTTTCCAAAAAATTGTATTTTTCACATTCTCTACTCATACCTATCCTAGTATTGCGTGTTCTACCATGGCCGCCTTTAACTAAGGCCGCGGCGTTCGAAGTGGCAACACCCCATGGGATGGCTGAATGGCTACAACTACGCTACACCACTGAACGCTCGCACCAGTCGCACAACGGAGGATTAGAGCAAGCACGCAAATTATCTATTAATTTAGATGTTTTATATCTGATATAAAAACACTGATCGCCATAAAACAGAGATTTTGTCGCTCTGTTCAACCCAAAGTTTTAACAAAACTAAGCATGATAGAAAGAATAGTTAAATACAAACAGTAAATTATATTTAATTATCTACAACTTTCTCACAGATGAAACTTCTCTGACCAACAAACAACAATAATGCCTAATTTTAGAAGGCGACTTACTTTTTTACTTTACTTTTCCAAACTTTTTCTAATGTGTTAATTTTCAAAATTATAATATATACTTCTACACAAAATTTTAATTTCATATTACACCATTGGTATAAAGGGTTTAGGTATTTGCTAGCTCTGCACCAAATTTCAAAATTTTATCTCAATTGTAAGGGCGTAAAAATGCAGTATATTTAAACTGACACCACTAGTTCCGTACTACTGTAATGGTGAAATGGACGGGAGTAGATGCTTGGCGAGATGTTGCCAATTCTCGTTGGCCCCGGCCTTAGTTAAAGGCGGCCGTGGTTCTACTTACCCTCTTCTGTCTTCAACTACCCCTCTGTTTCCATTATGCGGAGATATTGTACAGCTGTCAGAGAGGATCAAATGAACAGTCCTCCGTACAGGAGGAACAATTTTCTCAACCCATCCAAGTGTTTGCTCTGCTAATGTGTGTTTATTTGGCCTTCTGACAATCTTAACACAGCAATCCATGGAATTGATAACACAATCGATATTAGTAATAATTGGTTTAAGAGTAATTTTCTTGAAATTAATAGTGATAAGACAGAGAAAATATGTTTTACACTACGTAGAAACCAAATTGAAAATCCAGATTTTGTTAAATTGCTAGGTATTTTCTTAGATAAAAAATTAACTTGGGAAGAAGATACCAATAATGTAATATCTAAGTTGTCACGAGTTTGTTTTTTATTGCGAAAACTAAAAAACTGTGTATCAAATCACACACTTCTTTCTGTTTACCATAGTTTATTTCATACGCACTTATTATATGGAAATATTCTCTGGGGAAATAGCTGTGGGGCCAGCAGGGTGTTTACTTGGCAAAGAAAAGCCCTGCGGATCATGTTTGATATACCAAATAAAGTCAACTGCAAACCTTTCTTTATAAATAATAATACAGGGTGTCCCGGAACTCTCTACCAACATTTTAGGGCATTGATCCTGGGTAAGAAACGTACCTAAATATCACATTTAAATTGTCCGGAAGTCCTTAGTTACTCACACAGCCGCCATTTTGTTTTTTTCAGTTATTAATTTTTTTCTAAAGAATGGTTAAACATACGAAATGGAAACTTTGCACAAACATTTATGACAACTAGACAAAGCTGCAAAAAAATTATGAAGATTTTTCAAATTCATAAAACAAAATGGCAGCCATTTAAAATTTTCTTTCTTAAATAACTCAAAAACCATTGATTTTACAAAAATTTTTAATGGCCGCCATTTTGTTTTATGAATTTGAAAAATCGTGATAATTTTTTGGTAGCTTTGTCTAGTTGTCATAAATGTTTGTGCAAATTTTCCATTTCGTATGTTTAACCATTCTTAAGAAAAAAATTAATAACTGAAAAAAACAAAATGGCGGCTGTGTGAGTAACTAAGGACTTCCGGACAGTTTAAGTATGATATTTAGTTATGTTTCTTACCCAGGAGCAATGCCCTAAAATATTGGTAGAGAGTTCCGGGACACCCTGTATAATGACACTTTCAAGTATTTATATTTTTAATAATTTAGTCTATGTTAAACAAAACATTACAAATTTTACTAAATGTCACTCGATACATAACCACTCAACTAGACAATCAAACAACCTGTACATCCCACCAGTTAGACTTTCAAAATTCACAAAAAGCCATAAATATTTACAATTACAACTTTTCAATAAACTTCCCATTCCATTTAGAGAAATTGATAACATAACCCTTTTCAAATCAACATTATGAAGATTGCTAATTAGCAAAGCCTTTTTTTCTATAGACGATTTTTTAAACACAAATAATTACTCTGAACTCTTTAACACTATTGGCCACTAGGAGGCAGCCTGCATGACCAAAACTCTTTTTACATACAAGTTTCCTGAATATTTACAAATTGTTTAGTTTTGAAGTATTATTTACTTAAGTTTTTTATAAACTTGTGTTAGAGCATTCAACCTTAGAATTTTAAATTTAAATATTAGGCCTGTATGTATAGTTTATGCAACAAAATGTTCAATGCTTTATAAGATGATATAGATTTAAGCATGATGTCATATTTGTGTCCTGTCTTCTGACGTTGTCTATTGCAATTTTATGTTGCTGAATGACAATAAAGATTATTATTATTATTATTATTATTATTATTATTATTATAATGGTAACTGGTTTGTAGAATCTATTAACTTCTAATAGATAGACTTCTTCTATAGACTTCTTGTAAGCCGTGTCACACAAACAATATCCAAGATCAGGGGTGTTATGGCCCAAAGGGACAAAGATTTTTGACTTGATGTATGAAAGCTTATTTGGTTGTGTCCTACGACAACTCCAATTTTTGGTTAACATAAAGACAGCCATCTAAAGTGTGGTGTCAAGTGTGCTTCTGTTTTCAGCACACCCTCGTACGACTATGCCCCCAACTCTGACAAACAGTGGATCCTGCAGGTGACTGGCAAGATGCGGCCGATACATCGTCAGTTCACAGATCTGCTCATGACCAAACGGCTGCAGACACTGCAGAGTGTGGATGCTGCTGTGGAGAGGGTATTGTGATTTATAATAGGATGTCAGGAAATTAAGATAAGCTTTAGGCCTATCCTTAATCTTAGTCTTTATCTTAATCTTACGAACATAATACTGTAAAAACTGGCCAGTGTAGTTAATCACGGGGGACACGTGTGGCTACGCCGGAAGATGAGTCATGACAGTTTTTACAGTATTATATTCGTTTTTTGTGTTCGTGTATGTGTTCTAAGTGTAATGACGAATCTAACCAAATTGGTTAGATGACTTATTGACGTTTTTGTTCAACCTGAAGAGTGTATTACTGAAGCAGGATCACTTGACGAAGCCAAGTAACATAAACCATTTACCCTGATTAGGATTTTTATGTACAAGGATAGGGATCAGCTAGCTTACCTGGACAGAGTTCAGATTAGCCTTGATTACATATAAAACACATGACACAACACAGAGAAACTTAATATTTTGTCCCAGTTAGGGACTTATCAGAAGGGAGAAGAAAGAAAACAGAATATAAAACGGTTAGTTTTATTTCTTCTCCCTTCTGATGAAGTCGAAATATTAAGCGAAATATAGCTGGGACGAAATATTAAGTTTTTCGGTGTTGTGTCATGTGTATCAAGGCTAATCTGGACTCTGTCTACCAGGTAAGCTAGCTGATCCCTATCCTTATACATAATAATCCTAATTATGTAATGAACAACTGGTGTATCAGTTGTTTTAAGAACATGCATCTTTTATTTTTTGTAACAATAGGCCTAATAACAAACAACTAAAACGGCCTTGAACATTCATTTTGTTTGATGGTTGGCATGTTTCTAAAGCAAAAGGTTTTATACAGGGATTAAAGAAATCAAACGGTTTTCCATTATAGTTTTGTTTGAAGGATTTGAGCTGGAAGTTGGTTGTAAAACAAATTTGTAATTGAAAGTTTTGTAATCACTGCTTTCTCTGCCAGGTTTATCAAGAGCTAAAGGCACTAGGAGAGTTAGACAACACATATATAATCTACACTTCCGACCATGGCTACCATCTGGGCCAGTTTGGGCTGGTCAAGGGAAAGTCGTTCCCGTTCGAGTTCGATGTTCGCGTCCCATTCCTCATCAGGGGCCCAGGGATTGAGCCGGGCAGTACGTAAGTCTGTCTTACCATCTAACAGGGTTTTATCCTTCAATATTATATATTTTGAAGATAGCTCTATGAAAAATTTAAATTGGAATTAATTTACAAGTGAAATATTTGAAGATAAATGTCAGGAGGTTGTTGAGCCACATGTTTATACATCATATTAAACGGTTTACTTTAAATTGTTAAAAGGTTTCAGATAATTACAACATTTATTTTAAAATTATGTCATAGACTGAGGAACCTAAACATACAAATCAAGAACAGGCTTGGGAAATTGAAATCCTCTGCTTAATGTAAAAGTGCTGAGTGTTTTTTGATTCTATCTAACTCATATTGGCTATTGTCTGGTAACCAGGAGAAAAAATAAGCTCCTACTTTCAAACTTGGAAACATCAGTATAAAGTTTGGTTTCTGACTTAGTTCAAATAATAATTAAACTTTTTAAGACCTCTTTATCATATCCCTCCTATTCGTGCACCATCTACAATCTCACTAGTCTTTTCTCCATATTCCCTTTACCTCATCCATCCACCTTTTTCTGTGTGTTTTCTCCTCTCTATTGTTCCCTTCATCACCAACTCAATTTACCAGGAATTCACTCTTACTAAATTCTAATAACATATACCAACCACTTTGCCTGATCTGAGATGTATCATAAGATGCCTTTGGTGGGTCTTTTTGTAGCCCTCCGTAAGATACCCTCTAAGAGATCAAAATTCTTACAGTGTTTGTTATTTCCCAGGATTTTAAGTAAAACAGTTGATGGACATGTTTTTCTCCAGGATAGAGAACATAGTGTTGAACATAGACTTGGCACCTACCTTCCTTGACATTGCCGGGGTCGAGGCTCCTAGCCACATGGACGGTCGGTCGTTCTTCAAACTGTTGTTCAGAAGAAAGAGGCTGAAAGACACATTGCAATGGCCGGACACTTTCCTTATTGAGAGGTAAAACATGACCCTCATATTTTATATATTTTGTCTTTCGCTTTCTTAAATCAGGTGCACCTTTTATGTTGTAAGTTGATTGTGTAGTAAAGTTAAAAGCTGTGCTAATTCCATTTATTGCAATGCAAAACAAGTTTTCCTGACAAATATAGGCTATTTATTTCACAAAATAATGCTATTAATTATATTAATTTAATTTGCAGTAGCGGGAGAAGAGAAACAGCTGAAATGATTGCCGAAGCTAAATTACAAGAGTCACTCAGTACCATTGAAAAGAATTTGAATCAGACATTGGAAGAAGCTGCAACAGGTATTTAAAATACTGTGATCCTGAAATCCATTTGTATAACTATTCTGTAAATAAGCTGGGTTTCCAACATTTTCAGTGATGAATAGATTAGCCATAAAAATATTAAGTACAGCCTACAACCCGAATATCAATCTACTCAATGCAAATTCTCCAATAGTAGAGTCCTCAGTAGCAAATCTCAAAAGCAAAAGCCCTATTGTAAGAAGAGCTCTCTTAAAATATCCTCAAAATCAATAACCACCCTTCAACTTCAATTGTTTAAAAATAATTTATGGTGCTACTCACCCTCAATTAACTACAGAATCACATTTTTAAATCCAATTACACATGTGTGCTACCTGCAGATGACAGTAAATCAGCTGGTTGTGTTCTGTTTCCAGCTGTGGAGGACAACCAGGTGTCTGTGGTGGTGACAGGCAGTAAGTTGGAGAGGCTGGCCATAGAATGTCAGAAACCTGAGTTTCAGCCTCCTTGTAGACCTGGCCAGAAGTGGCAGTGTCTGGCCGACGGTAACAGGTGAACATACAGCTAAAGACGTTTAACAATTTTAAAATGCTCGGATCCTACTTTATTTTGAAATCTTTTAAAATTAAATTGCCTTGGTTCTCATGTTTCTACAACTATTTATCTCCATTAGCTCAATGTTCTAACTCTTTTGGAGGTGAATAAAAGTGTGTTGCTATCACACACTACTGCTCGATATACTACTTGTTGTACTTTGGCTCCATTTTAACTTTGGATACTATCTGTTATACGAAGATTGTTATTGATTGGTTCAATGTCAGGTGGCGCAAACACAAGTGCAAATTGAGACCTAGTCTGCTGAGACCCAAGACAAAAAAGTGTGCTTGCTTCACCGCTAATGGACTAATGTATACTAAACTGGAGACCGAGGACCATCTAGGACACAGGCACTTTCCAAGGTATCACTCACAGTGTTAGTTCTAATGTCAAACATATATTGTGTGTATACTTATACATTACATCATTACATCATGTTTCGTATAATGATGTGTTAAAGCCGAATCATGAATCTTCACCCTAAAAATCTCAAGTGAAGATCAAAACTTGAGATTTCATTTGTAGTGTTGTGAATTGTAATTGAATCTTAAATCTAATATTTAGTTACATTTTCTGTTTGCTCGTGCTACTACAACTGTTTGTTTAAGGAAATAAATGAAATCCAAATGGTTTCCAACAGATTTTTTCTATTTTTGTGGATTCCTCCCTCTTTTTTGGACATTAGCTCAATGATGACACTGATCACATATGATGTGACAATAACGATAGGCAATTTTATTATTGATGGGATTCTGTCTTATCAGTTTTTAAATTAATATGTATAAGTTTAAAAATTATTAACAATAAAGTTTAGGGGAGAGAAAGGATAGGATAAGCTAGGATTACCTTAAGAAATGCAGGCATCCCACTTCATTCACTACAGAACACAGAAGAAAACACAAAATAAAATAAACACTGGATGTTTCGAGGCCACTGGCCCCTTTCTCAACATGGAGAGTCACATTAGATGTGACTCATATAATGTGACTCTTCATGTATTTTATTTTGTGTTTTCTTCTGTGTTCTGTAGTGAATGAAGTGGGATGCCTACATTTCTTAAGGTAAGCCTGCTTATCCTATCCTTTCTCTCCCCTATTCTCAGGCAATAAGCCCTTTCTCTTCAAACCTAACAATAAAGTTTGTTTATAATTTATAAAGGGATTTGATGGTTTAGAGTTTCAGTAGATTCTATTATGTATTTGATAAACATTGCACTTCAATTTGAGATTTGGGTCACCACTGATGGTATTTCTGGATTTTGGATTAAAGATTCAAAGTTGCAGTGACCATTTCTAGTTTTTTATAGCCTCAGTAGCTGATTCTCATGTTGTGGTTTCTTCTCTGACATAGGACTCAAATGTCCAGAAGTAGCAGCAAGAGGGAGGAGGCGGAGCTCAGGAGCTTGGCAGGGAGAGGAACAAGAACTGCTCGGAAAGTGAAGCTCAATAGTGAACAGAACAATGTACCCAAGAGTGAGGAGACTGATACCTTCAAACTGGAGATGCAAGAATGGCTAGACAGCGACCGAGAGGAACAGGTACTGTGTAATGTCAACAGGTTATGTGTACATGTAACCAAGTGCTGCTTCACCTGGTAATGCACGTAGAGGTGTGTTCACGACCGAGAGGAACAGGTACTGTGTAATGTCAACAGGTTATGTGTACATGTAACCAAGTGCTGCTTCATCTGGTAATGCACGTAGAGGTGTGTTCACGATTCAACTCCACAGCAACATGACCTTTGCCACTTGAATTTCTAAGAGTTTTTAAACCTTCCTTACAGAGCCCTCTCCTCACATGGGAGTTGCATGCTCTATTGTTGAACCCTATCTCCTGGAATAAATGTGACAGTAACAACCAGGTCTTTGAAAACGGTGGCGTAGTACCAGTGGCTAACTTTTCCACTAGTAATAGCTGGCCTGTCAACCCTGTTGATTTCCTAGCTCAATCGGTTGCCAATTGCCACTACAGGTTATATTATACTGTGGTATTGATTAAATTAAGTCTTTTATTAATAAGTTCCATTCCTCATAGATTACTGAGATGAATTTCTTTTTTAAGATTATAAATACAAACTATGATATGTTATAGAGATAAACTAGTCAATAAATCATTTATTGTTTAGATGGGAGACTGGCTAGAGCCTATGAGACGTTGGACAGGAAGAGCTAAGAGAGATATGTTATAGAGATAAACTAGTTAATGAGTCATTTATCGTTTAGATGGGAGACTGGCTAGAGCCTGTGAGATGTTGGGCAGGAAGAGCTAAGAGAGATATGTTATAGAGATAATCTAGTCAATGAGTAATTTATTGTTTAGATGGGAGACTGGCTAGAGCCTGTGAGAAGTTGGACAGGAAGAGCTAAGAGAGATACCAAGATGAGACTTAAAGCTGGAGTGTTGCAAGAAATACTCAATGTCAAGGAGAAGATACTGAGCCTTGAGGTTTGTTATATAGAATTTTGTCAATTATTTAACATTATTTAAACATTATACACAAAATTATCATTCAGTATTAAGATAAGCCAATCTTGTTAAAAATATCAAGTACTGTATATCTAAAAGTTTTTAATTTAAATGCGATCAGAAATTGGAAGTTGTTTTTTTTATGGACATGTTTCCAATATTTTATTCTTTGATTAATTGAAGATGTTTTACTAGTTTTTGCTTAATTGTTTAGGGTTGGTTATTGTTTAAAATTTATCAAAATAAGTTTAAATTTGACTTTAATATTGTTAGTTTAAGTTTGATAATGTATGGAATCCTTTAGGATTGTTCTGTTGTGGTTCAGTTATGTATTCACGAACTTATTTAAGTTCACAACAAGTATACATCATTTGGGATCTGGATTCATTTACTTTCTTTAGTTCAACCTTCACTTATGGCTCTTGGAGTAGGCGTATTTTAAATATTTGAAGCTAGATTCTTCCATGGTTGCTGTGACTGCAAGACTGTGTTTATTAACACAAATCACCAATCAGGCTGTGTCAGCTGCGAATTTTGTGGTCACATTATGCTGACAGTAGCAGCATATTTCAATTCGCCGCTGATGCCAGCCTAATGTGACCCATGCTTAAGGCAACATTTAAAGCCCAATAATCAAGCATAGCTGGGCTCAGTTTTGAACCATAAAAACATTTCTGACCCACCAGGATCGAACCAGCGACCTTTTGATTACTAGGTTTGATACGACTATTCACACCAGCTGATAGCATTCATGTACAGGATCCAGCAAACACTACAGATGTTGACCAGGAGTGGAACTGCACTGTAGGAGGCACCCCTGGGGTAGGAGTCAGCTGCAGTCACTCCATATACAACAGTCCGCAGTCATGGCGTGCGTCTCAGCAGCGACTGCAGCTGGAGATACGAAAACTGCGTAACCAACTGGAGAAGCTTAAAGTAGGTAAACCCTGTAATGTTAGTATGCCATGTTTACTGTTACACTTTTGTATACAGTGGACTCCCTGAACAGTAGATGAACCTATTACATACTACATGCTGCATCTAATAATGCTACAGGGTGTCTACTAGTCGGGAATTCAGGGAAAATCGGGAAAAAGTCGGGGATTTTGAAAGGTCGGGAAAAGTCATGAAAAAGTAATGAATTTCAGCCGATGGTCGGGAATAATCTAACCTTTCAAAATTAGGGATGAACGGGTCCCAAAACTGTTAAAAAACTTTCTGGATCTTATATTCCTTATTCATAAATTATTGAGTAAGTATTCATATACATTATTTAATCAGTATCCATATACGTTTTTGAATCAGTATCCATACATTATGGAGTCAGTATCCAAATACGTTTTTAAATCAGTATCCATACGTTATTGAATCAGTATCCAAATACGTTTTGATGAATCAGTATCCATATAAGTTATTGAATCAGTATCCATGAATACGTTTTTGAATCAGTATCCATAACTTATTGAATCAGTATCTATATACGGTATTGAATCAGTATCCATACATTATTGAGTCAGAATCTATATACGTTTTAGAATCAGTATCCATACGTTATTGAATCAGTATCCAAATACGTTATTGAATCAGTATCCAAATACGTTTTTGAATCAGTATCCATACGATATTGAATCAGTATCGAAATACGTTATTGAATCAGTATCAAAATACGTTATTGAATCAGTATCCAAATATGTTTTTGAATCAGTATCCATACGATATTGAATCAGTATCCATATACGAGTGAAAATTTAAAAATGTACGTTTTCAGGAAAAGCACTTTTAAAATTTTTTGTTCCATTTTTTGAAACTCTTTTATTTTTTATATTTCATTGACATTTGAAGTTTCATTAAATGTCCATGGTAACGCAATATCTTTGGTGATTTTTTATAAATAGATCATCTTTGATGGAAAAACACGAAATTTTGTCACGACCATCATGGACATAAAAAACTGAATATTAAAAATAGTTAATATTATTTTTATAACTATGTTTTGCTATAAATTAATTTACTTTTATGACCATTATACAATAAACAGCTCACTAAGCTTTTGGTATATTTGGTATTTCAAGAAAAAAATAAAAAAAATAAAAAATTGAAAAAAAGCCAATAAAATCTTTTAAGTTTGTATAACTCCGAAAAAACTAACCTGAGACCCGAAAAATCTTTATGTTTTTATAGAGGTGTGCTTCTTTTGTGTATAAAACATTTAAATATGATGATATTTTAATTTTTTTAATTTTTATGATAGAAATCATCAACGTGATGGTCAGGGACAAGCGGTACGGTCGTGAATTGTCTGGAATAATCTAAATCTTTCTAAACAATCTTTCAGTTATGCTGTTAGTTATAATAAAAATATGTGTTTCAATTTAAATTAACTGTTCAATTTACAATGATATTTAAGTTATTGTCACGACCAAACACAGTATAATCCATAAGAATGGATTGGTCGTGAAAAACCCCGCGATGGTCGTGAAACTTTTGTCGTGACATTACGTATTATTTGGCTCTGTTCTGGCGGTAGCCTTGCACCTCATGTTCGAGGATACAAAGTGGACTTCTAGGTTAATGTAGCAATTGAAATATCATATCAACAAAAATTAAAACCACGTCTACTTCATCAAATGACTACGTACGGTCATGGACACACCAAAATTACAAAAAACACAAACTTGCCTTTATTAATCTTGTAACTACTTCTTTCAACACAAAACAACCGGCACAACAAACTTGACGTCCACCTCGAACTAGTCTCTAAAACGAACTGACGCAATCGACGCCAGGCTTGCCACTGTCGTGCTCCAAAGTTGCAAATTTTTTCCATATGGTCGTGACGCCAAATCGAGGGACAGACTTATTATGTCATGGTAGTCAGTTTGCAATGACAATAAAATTATAATATGCTCCTTTTTTGTAAGTTTAATAACTATTGATGACATAAAAATATGGCTTTATATATTTCGGCATGAATAATTAGTCTAAAAACAGCGTGAAAGTTGGAAAATGTACCCTAGGGACACGTTATGGTCGTGAATTTCAAGACTTTAAAAATACGAAAAAAATACCTAGAACCTATTTAAAACCAAATAAATGTGTATAACATGTTGCCCCCGTCCCAAAAAATATTAAAACACATAATAATAAACTACGAATCCAGTATCTACGAAGTAAAAGGCCAGGGACATGAAAACGTACGTTTTTAAATTTTCACTCATACGTAGTTGACTGTTACATTATACTGTTACTTTGACTATCAGTATCTATATAACTTATTGACACTATTCAAATTATTGGCATTAATTTATATAAGCTATTCACTGAGACATTGCTTAGCCATACAAGTTATTACCATCCAAGTACATTACATACACTGAGACATTGCTTAGCCATACAAGTAATTACCATCCAAGTACATGGCATACACTGAGCCATTGCTTAGCCATACAAGAAATTATGTTTACCTTGTAGCTCTGATTCTATCCTCTTATTTTATCAATGTAAACCAATTGAAAGATTCAGTATAAATCTTGCAAAGGTTTTTATTTGTTTACACCAAAACATATCTTTATATTTATAAAATCATTAAAATAAAATAGGTAACATGTTGAACAACATGATGCTGCAAGTAAAAATTATGAAATATAGGCTAGAAGCTCACTGGTATTTCCAGAAATACAGTTTCTCCTAATGCATGATTGAAAACAAGTATTTCATTCCATTGACAAGTATGAATAGAAAAATGCCGTGTTGCTTCGAATCAAGTTACATTAAAATTTGTTGCTGCTTCACAAACCCCAACATTTGATATGGGATTTTCTCGGCACATGATTTGTTTCGATCGTCAGTGATTTCGCTGCGTCGCGAGTGACAACATATGTTGACGAAGGTACCGTGACCGTGAGACGGAAAAAGGTGTAGTAACATGGAGAATGGACCAAGTTTTTGGTCGGGATTTAAATAAAAATGGTAATGAAAAGTCGGGAAAAAGTCGGGAATTCCATTTGAGAAATCTGGTAGACACCCTGAATAATGCTACCTTTGAGTAAACAGAGATAGTACTTTTGTATACCCACCTAAGCACTTATTGCCATTCACATGTCTAATCTGAATATTCCTAAGTGTGTTACAAACTTTTAATGTTACAACTCGTTTTATTAGAGGGAAGTCTCAAATCAAAGAAATAAAATGACCCAAACTTAAATTACACAACACAGGCTATCAGTAAGGCAACAGTTTTCTTCAATTCCAATGCTGGAAAAACTTTGTTGTAACATGTTAACTCGAATTGAAGCAGGTCGTTTAGCATACATTAGAAGTTATCAGTTAAAACTGAGAGCAGAAATAATGTAGGCGAACCTTTTACGACGCAAAAGGAGATTTTTAAAATTAGTTTCTAACAAGTGTTTAAACAACTCTAAGATGTAACTAGAATTACTCTAATTTAAGCATAACTTTTTCCTCGGAGTTATGTTTCATACTATGCGGCTCATTGAGTCGCACGGGTTCTCTAGTAGTATATATTTAATATTCAACCCTTACATTTTTAAATATACGTACACAATTTATTAAATTGTTGGCAATATTTATTTTCTGTCTTAACCATTAGTTTACTCTTTTCTCTTCATTGAGCTCTAGTTTTAGTCATATGCCAAATTAAATTTACATCTACCCTTTTATTTATTTTAAACCCCCTTTGCCATTCAGGAAATAAAGAAGTTCCTGAAAGAGAAAAAGCCTTATGATCGAAGCACTGAGGAAACTGATGAAGATGACGAGGAAGATAACGAGAGAAAGATCGAAGATGAGGAAGACGACGATGAAGATCTTTTTGAAGATATTTTTGATGAAGACAACACCACTCTTGCAACTACTGAGAGAAATTTGAACAAACCTCGCCGAAAACCAAAGAACAGGTTTGTAAACTCAGGAACAAACACAACTGTGGATGATAACGACGATGGTGTCTCAAGAAACGTATCAGACCTGACTGACAACGAAGAGAACTCTGGTAGAAGGAGGAAACATAAGGGAAACTCAGAGAACACTGAGACCAACTTCCTCAGTAAACACAGACACAGGCACAAACTGATACCTTTGCCAGAGAGAGATAGAGAGAGAGAGACAACTACATCGTCTGCGGTGAACTACACAACTGGCAGGAAAGATTGGGTTAGTAACATCACCCATGTTGTATGATTTTATAAACTTGCAAAGTAGAACCCCTAATGTAAGCTAACTCGCCAAACTGTTGATCAGATTTTAATGGTCAACATGTAGAGTTTAGGACAACTTTTGACACAATGGTGGCACCATTAGTTTTAGACCTAACATTGACATTATTAAAAATATCCCCTCTGCAGCAAACCTGCAGACTAAGTGAATTTCCTTTTACCTGGATGAATTTCCACCAAAATATTTCCTTAAAATTTTCAGATTTACAGGGTGTCTAGTAGTCGGGAAAAACAGGAAAGTCTGGAAGTATTGAATTTCAAAATGGTCTTGAAAAGTCGGGAATTAGTCTTTATTTTGATATTAATGTCGGGAATTTTCATGATTTTGCCGACATCGCGAAAGACGGCGATCACGTTTCCGTGACCGCGGAAGACGTTGAAGATGTCTACACGGCAGCGGGAGACGATGAAGATGTCTACACGGCCGCAGGAGATGATCATGATTAAGCCACGATCGCGCTAGACGATGATCACGGTTTTGTGACCGCGGGAAATGATCATGATTTTTCCACGATCACGCAAGACGATGATGATGTCTACACTGCTGCGGGAGACGGGATTTTCATCACCTATCCATAAAAAAACCAAATTGGCTAGTTTATTGCTGCATTTTTTTCTTTACTTGAAAAACCTAATAATAAGGAGTTTGTAGTCAAACCAAATTATTTAGACAATTTTCTTGAGATATAAAAATTGGTACCTATCGGTATCAAGAATCGAGAATCCGTACATTTAGGTGGAGAAAACTAAGTATTGAAAAATCTGGAATTAGTATTGAAAAGTCTGGAATTAATATTGAATTTTAAAATGGAAATAAACTAGACACCCTGGATTTATTTCCTATCTAAATAACATTAATCTTAATAAGTACTTAGGTTTGCTGCTATAGGGAAGGTAATATGGTGTACTTTTTATAGTATAAAATAAACAAATTTGCCTAATTCGATCAAAATACACCCATAAACAAGCAAACTTAACAGTTTATTTATAATATGTAAGGAAAACATAGGCATTTTAAATTTACATTTTTTTTTCTCCGTAACCGTTAGGCATACAACAGCACTTCAGTATACTAATTATTATTTTTTAAGCTCTACAAAACTGTTTGGAAAGAAATTGTGAAATCTTATGTTTTTAGGGTCAAAAATGGGAAAAACAATTTTTACCTCATAAAACCTCTTAATAACCCCGGTTTCTATAGTCTGATCATGCTTTTCTTGCTTTTCTTAAAGTTTGCAAACTCGTAGGTTAATAAACGTAGTAAAATAAACATAGGTTTACAAGTTTTTATCAAACTTCATCAAAATCAAATTATTTTTGCTTGAGTTATTGTGCTAACGGACATATATACGAATTTGAACGGAGGGTTTTTTTTACCTCCGAAACGAAACAGTAAAACGTCTTAGCAAGGAGTTACATTTTGTAAAATTCAGAAATAACATTATTTTCAGATGCTTAGTGGAAAATAATATACATTTTGTTTAGTTTGAGACTGCTTGTTGAAATACACTTAAGCGTAAATAACATGAATGTTATGTAGCAAGAGTAGCAATAAAAACAAAACAAATAACTTATTTAAAATAAACAAACATGTTTTCTGTACCGGTATTCATAAACTAATAAAGTTGTGTTAGCCAGGGCCAGGTCCAGGAAGGATAGATGTTACAATTCTTGAGCCAGTCTCTGGACTGAATCCAAACAGAAAGACGCAAGACTCGCTGCCTCCTGACACCTGCTACTGTGACCCATACCTGTGAGTAAATATACAATCACATTCTTTATCCTCACTGCTGTCAGGGCTATTACTGCTGTTCACTATTTTTCTGTAATATTCACATAGCCCAAAAGATTGTATGGCAACTAACTGATTAATTTTTTAACATACATCCAACTCCTGAAGCTAAAACCTCGCCTAAGATTTTCTGATCTTGTTTGCTACAAACTGGGACACAATCACCCCTCAGCCTTTCAGTTTGAAGTCAATAGTACTGTAATTGCTTATGGGTAAAACCAGAAATATTCTTTTTTAAATTTAGGTTTGAATAGGAAGGGCTTACTGTCTGAGAATAAGGCAGACAAAGGATAGGATAAGCAGGCTTACCATTAGAAATGTAGGCATCCCACTTCTTCCATCATGAATCAGTGCATTTTCTGTGTTACTGTAGTGAAGTGGGATGCCTACATTTCTTAAGGTAAGCCTGCTTATCCTATCCTTTGTCTCCCTTAAACAAATTTAGGTATCTTAGATGAGTTTTTGCTACTTGTAAACATTTTTCTTTCTTAAATATTGTTCAGTAGAGTTGGTAAAGAAAATTATGTTGTACATCAAGATTGTTTTGTAATAATTTCACATGAATTTACTAACTAAGCCGTCATAATTAATTAAATATTTGTGACGCGAAATTCTGGAGGGGGTAATAAACTAGTATTCACCAAGTCAGGCTAGGCCTACCCCTAGAACCGGCCACGCTCAAATTTCTTCCCCGGAGTGCTCAGAAGGAGCCGAGAAAATCCAGGGGTCGATACGAAGTTGTCACGGCTTTGACTGATCAATTTATTTAAATTTAATCGAAGGCTCAGAGCTGTAGAAGCGCTCCGGAAATCCTGCAGACGCCCAGTTGGAGCTATATCATCCCAGCCTTCGTTAAAGTGTTTTGGTAAATTTTGCCTAACTTTTAGAATGACTCTGTAGGGCCGACGTGTATCCAATCTTAAGCCAATTTGATATAAATACTCGTTTTAAGCTTTAAAATAATAAACTAAAGACTTTAGTAAAATAAAAGGGCGACGATTGTATGAACAAAATCTAGAATAAAAATCCCTACAGAGTCGTCAGGGCCTAATTAACACAATTGAACGGAGAATGATTTAGCGTGAAATGGTTTCAAATAAATTTAACACTAATATTCGTGGCTGATAGTTCAAATCGGTCTACTCCCAGACTTGGTTCTTTCACCCGCCAAAGACGGGGCTTAGAACACAGACGACAAGTCTCAGGACATTAAAACGTCGAATCAATTAAAATAATTTAAGTAATAATTCGTTAAGCGAATGGAACAAATGTAAATTTGTGGACAATTAATTTAATTCGAGCCGAAAGGTATCCACCGCTAGTCACTGACCGGCAGGAACTGGGGGGTCAAGACTCCAATCGGCGAAAACTAAGTTATTAAAATTTAGTTACCGGTATTGAAAATTGAATTTGGAAACGGGAATCGTAGCAATGTGATTAACTATTATAAATGAAATGAATGAAATGAAATGTGTTTATTGTCTTGTGAATTTATACAAATTATTGACAATGTCCGAAAAACTGCTAAAACTAGCATAGTCAATATACTAACTAAACTATAAACTAGCATGAATACAATATACAATATTTACAAGAATACTACACACAAGGAGACATGTTACAATACATACTTTAATATTACAACCAAATAATCTTATTGTTCAGAAAAATGCAAGGCATTTAGAATAATGAAAGTTATTAAACCCCATAACCAACTAAATCCAACAGTAAATTGATAAATTTGCTAGCTCCTACTTAAAAATTAATAAAAGGCATTTCAAAAAAATCTTTTAGAGAATAAAAAGGGTTGTTCAAAAGCCATTTGTAGAATTTAGATTTAAAAGTTTTATTAGGATATTTTGTTATTAAATGTATTAGCTTGTTGTATATTTTTAGTGAGATTACAATATGACTTTTAAGAGTTTTAGACAGTCTAAAAAAATCTATGGTAGCAACGTTTTTATTCCTTGTATTATGAACATGAGAATTTTGTTTGATAAGGTTGGGATTTTTTAGAATATATGATACAGAGTCAAATATATAAATGTTAATTACTGTTGGAATTTGTAGCTGAATGAACAGGGGTTTACAGTGTTCCTGTTGGGGTTCACAAGATATGATTCTAACTAACTTCTTTTGTAAGACTAAAATTTCCTCTATCCTACTGCAATTTCCGTAAAAGATAATATTGTATCTGAAAATGGATTGGAAATAAGCAAAGTAGGCTGTTTTAATATAATTTTGATCTATACAATGTATTAGTTTAGTTATAAGACAAATTACCCTTGAAAGCTTAGAACTTATGTAATCTATATGATCTCCCCAAGAAAGGGTCTTATCCAGATAAATACCAAGAAATTTAACATTGTCTACATAACCATCCAACATATTTGATTCACAGGGTCTAAGGCTAAAAACAATTTTTTGAGTTTTATCTTTGTTTAAGAGGAAGCCGTTTGATTCAAACCAAATAGAAGCTTCATTGATTGAGCTATAGGCTAGCTAACCTTCGGTAAACGAATTATCGATGATCGTCAGATCGTGCAAGCGTTGGTAACGGGCGAATATAACGACGAAGTTACTTCGAAGACGGCATACGAACAAATAATCCTGTCTGAGTAAAATCCTTCGTTCCTGCCCGCTCGAGGCTTACGCGCTCAAGCGGCGAACTTAGGTACTACTAGACAACAGCTGATCGAATACTCAACTATTGAGCCAGTCTAGTTTCGTCTGTCAACAAATAAACACCAGTTTGGGGGTTATGTCGTCGTCGGCGTTAAATACTTGTAAAATCGGTCGGTTTACTTTATTTGGTGAAATTGAGTGCTATTATTAATAAATATGTAGTTTTGGGTGTGTATGTACTTCACTGTGATTAAAAAAGGCTATTGTCGATAAAAATCGGGTAAGTTCTGGTGTTCATTTCTTCGTAGTACGTTTTTTACCCCCCTTTAATTTGGTACCTTACATATTACACATTAACATTTTTGAACCCATCTATTACGTTCGGTTGTTACATTAGTTGAATACTGGCTATATAATTTTCTTTTGCTAGCTCAACTCACAAAGATGAAAAAGATGTTGCGCGTGAAGCAAGAAGGCGGCTGAAGGAGGAGAGACTGCGGAAGAAAGAGAGAAAAATGCGGAGAAAAGCAAAGTTGGAGAGTGAGTGTCTGGCAGAAAAGATGAACTGCTTCAATCATGATAATGAACACTGGAGAACCCCTCCGTTCTGGACAGGTGAGTGGTACAAGCGTACTGAACTATCTTATACCTATCATAGCTCACTTTCAGTAACCATGTTAGGTATGGTCTAAAAACTTACTCATTGATTCAGGTTCTAGATCATACCAGTTAAAAAACACTATTCAGTCTAATTTTAAATAAGCAAATTCACTCAAAATTAATTGAGGATATTAGACTCATGCTAAACCTGCACAATAGGGATTTTATCAGGGTCAGCTTATTGGAAATGCTGAATCACTAAGACCTGTTATTCTGTGGGTAGCAAAAATACTGATAAATTGGGGTTAAAAAACTAGTAACATGAATCAGTGCATATTATTGTTTCCAACCGCGGATTTGGAGTTCTGCTACATTTCAATAGTATTTGTAACTGGGTAGCAGGGTGGATACAGGGTCCACCTTGTAATTCAAAAGTTGTATTTAGAGTAATTTCTTAAGTACATTTTCATGGTTCAAAACTGAACCAAGCTTTCCTAGATGTTATATCCGTACCTAATAAAACTATGCTTAAGGCCGACACACACTATTTGATAAATTACTACCGATTATGCAATAAGTAACTCTACGACAGGCGGCATAGATGTGTGCTATCATACCTGCGTTCTCTAGTTGACTGTCCGTCCTTTCGTCTCCAGTGTGGGGATGTGGGTTGAAGGATCAAAGTCCAGACTAGGCTATTATTGTAGGCTACTGTATTAATGAACTAAATTATCTTCTGTTGCTTCAAACTAAATAATCATTGCTTTACTACACTAGTAAATTGAGCTTTAATGAATTGTTTTGTTTTAAAAGTAGCTGATCGTATACATTAACAACTACTCATCCCTCACATATCTTCCCCTATTACTAACACTTTGTTCGTAATCAAAGTAACGGGTAGGTGTGTGCGATGCATCAAAAATGCATTGAAATTTTGATTCGATTCGATTCGATGCATTGAATCACGATTCGATTCAGCATGCGTCGAAATCTCGATGCATCGATTTGGCCTCGATGCATCGAAAAAGACCGATGCATCGGTTAACTCCTGATGCAACGATTACGTCCCGATGCATATTAAAAACTAATTTAGGACTCCAAAATGAGTTTTAGATAGGGAAGTGTCAATTATCGCTACCACCGATACTCGGACATTTTCCGATACTAGGAATATCGGTATCAAGAATCGATTGCCAAACATCGATTTCGCCCGATTCCGCCGATACCGACAGCCGACAGGGATGGATAGATATTTTATTTTAACATTTATTTATTTGATATCTATTAGTTTTGTAATCACGCTAACAACTTTAGTAACCAACTTAGCACACTATTTAGTTCAAAACAGCTAAAGTTTATTTTCAGCTGTTCTCTCTGCAGGCAGATGATATTGCACAACACAATACAATCTACATTTCAAGATGTCAGACAGTCAGAATTCAGTCACCGGCGCTCGAGTGTCCTCAAAACGAAATTATACTAAAAAATGTCTGTATCAATAAGTCAGACCTTTAAATGTATTATTTTTATTTTTAGAACAAAATAAATAACCTAAACTTGTCTAAATGTTCAGTTTCATCCCTGCATTACGCATCATTAGAACAATTTGATTCAATTACAACATCGAAGTCAGAGGGTTAGGCTTGCACTTGCCTATTGCACCAAAAAGTAGATCCATATTATATCTGTACTATCTACCTAATTTAAGAGTTTAAGTGAAGTTTTAAGTGCTACTATAACATAGGTTTTGATTGAAAAACACCATACGCATAGTCCATGTCGATTTTGTAATATTATAATGAATGGTAAATGTTGACCATCTAAGATAAATCAAAGTATGTAACAAGAGTTCTCATTGGTCGAGAGGCCACGCTGCACTGTCATGTCAGCCAATCGACGTTCGTGTTTCAATGGAGCAAGTGACGATTGCTAAGATACATTGATAAATATCAAGAACCGTTATGTAGGACGTGTTTGTTTGTAAAGAGTATAAAATTAGGTTAAAGTTTAAAACGGTGTGATTTTCTTTTGTCTTACAAAGACCTAGATTTGACAATAAGGTTATAAACAAGTATTGTCGCGTCGTTGTTCCTTGTTTGTTTACTTTTTCAGATTCCCTACCAAACGCCCCTATCTGCTATCTCTCTTTCCCCCCCCCCCCTCTCTCTCTAACGATATACTGATTAAACAGATTGTGGTTGACGACTTATAAGTTTCCCTGTGGTTATTTTAGTTCAATCAATCCCAAAACCTTTCTATCGTTTATCAAAATCATTAATTAATCTGTTTTGTATTTTATTTCCTTTACACCAACCCATATTTACCATCTCTATTTTATTGAATAAAATGTTTGTTTATAAAGTTTGACTGGCCACACAATTTTGTACCTATTTTATTTTGTATAAAGTAACAGATACTTTGATGATTATATATATATATATATATATATAATCAATAAGTGCTGCGTGCTGAATGAATGCTTTTTATTATCAAAATAAGTAATCAATTATAAATTTTTGATAATACAAGGGTCATTGAATACCATAATGTCATGTAGTTTCGTATTTGTAACTTGCAAATAATAATAATTGATAGTTAATTCTGGAAAATGAAAAATAGTGAACGCATTCATAAACCTGTTGTCAAAACAGCAACGCAGGTGTAAGGGTTTATTGTTTCAGAGGCTAGGGTGTTTCAAGGACAAAGTGTTGGGCCTCCCGGCTTAGGGGGGGAGGGGTGATGGTTAGAGGGGGAGGAAACTGGTTTTGGCTATTTATTGATTAGTTCACCGACCCTTCTAGACAACAAAATTTAGTGACAGTGACAGTGTTAAATCACCGTGTTCTGTATTTAATTTGTTGTTTACTTTGTGTGTTATTCTATTAATTTTAGTGTTTTGTTCTATTTCCTCCTGGTCCCTTGCAAATTGTATTATCAATGCTAAATAATTGTGGTCAATTCAAATTATATTTTTGATTATTCAAATCTACACAAAAAGACAAAAGTCAAACCAGGCAAGGAAAAAACCTGATATTGTAATCCCTGTACCCAGCCATTTGGGAAGTGGTGAAAGTCTAGTCTAAATATAGCTCAAAGGTCTCACCCTTCCCTTCCCCCCCTTCCAACCCCCTACTCAATGTTACTATTCCGCTCATTTCGAGGTCATTGCACAACGCCTGCCTCCCTTCTATTGTTTTGCCTTTATAGTGTTTACCTTTGTTTGCCTTTTATAAACATAAATTTATTGCTTACGTAACAGTTCAGTAATGAAATTTTCTATTGTGAAACAGTAGGCCAGGCCTACTTTAAAACAAAATCACTACCGATCATGTCATTCTATTCTGTGTCAAGTCAGTATACCATTGCCATTGCCAGTCAGTCGCCGGCGACTGCTTTGAGTTGACCAATTCTGTCGTGACAGCTGGAAAAATAGGTTAGGACAACTACCTCTTGCTTATTTCTATATTTGTATGACTGTAGAATCTACAGTAATACAAATTATCCATCATTTTATGTAAACACAAGTTACATTTCAACAAATATTGATCTTTTACAATTTTATACCAAACTAGCGAGTTCAAAGATAAGCTCGAGTTTCATGGCCGTACCTCGAACTCAAAATCTCGAATACTCGCCCATTTTGTGTTAATAGTATAAATACAATTGGATCCATTAAAACCGGATCCAGCCCAAGATCCGATTTTTTGTGGATACGATCGGGCGTCGGTCTAGCTCAGATCCGGCGGATCCGGTAGTCCGATATCCGGATCCGACCATCACTAAAATAGACAGTAAACACTGATTATTAACTTTTTGGTTCGTGCTGATTTAAGAATGAACCAGAAGTATTGAAAGCCAACAAATATAAATGTGAAAACTAAGTAACAATACTCATAAAATAAACTCTATTTTATTTAATACAGGTCAATAATAATAAACTTAACGATTGCTTTATTGATATATAGGCTTATTCTAATTGTTAGTGAAGGGTGAATTTCCTTAGGCCAACCATAAAATTAGCAGTGTCCATTAATGAGGTTAGGTCAGCAACTATCCTCTTGTTCATAATTTTATTTAGTACATTTTTTACTTTAACTTTTTTTTTAAGGTAAAGGATCCATTACAAAAACACATGTTGTATTAAATTTTTGAAGAAAATCATGCCGTGCTGCATCGAATCGAATCGCATCGATTCGAATCGAAATTCTTTGAATCGCATCGATGCATCGAATCGAAAAAAATATGCTGCATCGCACACCCCTAGTAACGGGAGTGTCGCACAACATCCAAATGTCACGAGGTCCAATGATATAAGTCAGTGTCACGATGACCAAAATATAAGTTTTGAGCAGTCTCACGTCGTCCAAAATACAGTTTTTGAGCTGTCTCATGACTTCCAAAATTCTACTGTTGCACAACGTCTAAATTTCATCATGTCCAAAAGTACAGTAACTGCAAGAAACACTTCTACAAGCTTTGGACGTTGGGATTGGTCGTCGTGCAACAGCGCACTTCGGTTAGCTGGACCAGGTTAAGTTAGGTTTGGACGTAGTGAAACTGCTACTTTCAGTATAAAGTGTGCTGTTTCACAACGACCAATCTGATGACTCCAGAGCTTGTAGAAAGACGATATTTATTACAGTTACTGTACTTTTGGACATGATGATATTTGGACGTTGTGCAACTTATATTTTACATTGCACGCCATGTGACAGCTCAAGAATTATTTTGGACGTCATGACACTGATTTACATCATTGGACGCCATGTAATGCATCCGAGGTAACCAATCAACATTAAACAGTTATTTTTCCTCTACTGGAGGGGCTTTTCAGCTCTCAACAAGAGGTAGATAAGAGTAAACTCACCATGGGTTTATTTTTCAGCTCTCAACAAAAGGTAGATAAGATTAAATTCACCATGGGTTTATTTTTCAGCTCTCAACAAAAGGTAGATAAGAGTAAACTCACCATGGGTTTATTTTTCAGCTCTCAACAAGAGGTAGATAAGATTAAACTCACCATGGGTTTATTTTTCAGCTCTCAACAAAAGGTAGATAAGATTAAATTCACCATGGGTTTATTTTTCAGCTCTCAACAAAAGGTAGATAAGAGTAAACTCACCATGGGTTTATTTTTCAGCTCTCAACAAGAGGTAGATAAGATTAAACTCACCATGGGTTTATTTTTCAGCTCTCAACAAAAGGTAGATAAGATTAAATTCACCATGGGTTTATTTTTCAGCTCTCAACAAAAGGTAGATAAGAGTAAACTCACCATGGGTTTATTTTTCAGCAGTTTCCCTTTGTATTTACTATTTACATAGCCTATTGTTTGATTGTTTCAGAGGGATCATTCTGTTTCTGTATGAACGCCAACAACAACACATACTCCTGTTTGAGAACAATCAACAAAACTCACAATTATCTGTATTGCGAGTTTGTCACTGGGCTTGTTACCTTCTACAATCTTCGGCTAGGTAGGTGAACCGGTAGCAGCAAGCTGCCAAATACTCAGGTCTTTCACTATTACATTATAACTTTTGGATCTTGTGCGTTGCATCCAGTTCATCTGTACAATTACAATTGCCCCTTCTCAAAGGCTGCACAATGAATCCATATAAAAATTATCCATATAGTAACTAAAAACAGATTTACAACTAACACAGAACATTAGTTTACAGGGCTCCCTACAACAATAACTTATGGGATACTAAATTTTTTTAAGAAAAAAAAACAACTTGGCTTTAAAGAATTATTATTGAGGAGAAAGGAAGGATTAACACAACTAACTCATCTGAATAAAGAGTCCCAGGAGGTCAATAGTTCATCCTGAAAGGGGCGAAATATCAGTTTTATGTGTACTTTTTATGTGTTCTATTGACCTCCTGAGACTCTTTATTCAGGTGAGTTAGTTGTATCCTTCCTTTCTCCTCAATAATAATTATGGGATACTAAACCATTCCAAGACAAAAAATTCCCAGCTCTTGGAACTATTGTAAGGAGCTTTACCTCTTCATATATCAAACTTAAACAAGCCTAGACCCAGACACTTTTTGGTATTTTTTAAATTGTGTTTAAGTTCCTAGGTTTGTTCTTATCATCAAACTACCATAATAATTATGATTCCAACTTCTATAGTTCACAAAAATATATTTAATCATCTTATATTAAATTTAGTTATTTGACCGACTTACAGTACAACTAAGAATCTATATATTTAATACGCTAGGCATATTTTTGTCATAATTGTTTTGGAGCGGTGGTGCTACCGATCACCATGTCCGAGGTGTCGTTAGAAAGGTCTTAGCATGTAGTTTTGCCATCAAGCAAAAAAACTTTGGAATTCCGTCAGGGCTCTGTCCTACACCCTTCTACTCTCTGAAAAAGTCCTACACCAAGATAGAAGCCCAGTGGCACATTGTGTAGCCTACATGTATTGTGTATCCCTAAATCCCTGAATGCTACTTCTCTTAAAGAATTTAATTGAGCCCTTATTGCTTAAAAGCTCAGAAATAAAATACTTGTACATTTTTAACACCTTAGATTATCTAGAATACTAAAATAGTTTTTCTTCATGATTCGAACATGTTTACCAGATCCGTTTGAGCAGTGGAATCGAGCGTCGCTGTTGACAGTAGAAGAGAAGTCCTACTTGCATGACACACTGGAGAAGCTCAAGGGCTGTCGTGGCGCTCGACAGTGTTCTGTCACATCCAACCAACGACAACACAGCAGACGACAGAAGATGCCCAACAGCGCAAACATAAGTGAGTGACTTGCAAAACCATTGTAAAAAATTAAAATCAATAAGTTAGGCAACGGGAATTGTTCGCCGTGACGCTCATAGTTGGCCAACAAATGTAATAGAGCTAGGGATGTTCGATATTTTGATATCGGTGACAGAGTCACCGATACCGGTTTGTCATTGAAATATCGGTGACAAGAGGCTCGAAAATACGGTGACTGGAATATCGGTGACAGCGGTAAGGCGCTCCTCGAAAACTGTTAGTACTGTTACTGTCACCGGACGGCGCCGTCGCGTAGTTCTCTCTGACGAATGACGATATCTGTTACAAAATCACCTGTGACGAGATGCGCGCGCAGCTCCCATTCACGGTTCAACCAATCACAAACCTGCATAACCATGAGTCACATCCGGGACTATACAATAATACACAATATTTCCCGCCTACAACGACAACCAACATTATTCAAACTCAACTCAACGTTTTCGCATTTTGATTTAGATCATATCATATGCCTACCGGTAATAGTATAGTCCTATCCAATTGCTTTGCCACTTTTTACTTACACTTTTAGGTTTTTATTAATGTTAATCTTTATTTAAGGAAATAAATCAAAGTTTTAGCTAAAATGAGTTCATCTAGGTAGGTACCTAGTAATGTTCTTAATTAGGTGGGCCGGTGAGCCACAGAATCGGTAATATGAAGACCGAATTAAACCTACTAAATTCTTTATCAATAACTATTAATCGAGCATTGCTTATTTACTCTTGATTTATTTAACCTACTAACTTTATAACAAGACAAAGATTTAGGCATAGGTCCCAATATTAACCTCACTAGGCCTTATGTCAGTATCTATGACTATAGACATTGACTATACAACATATAGTCAATGCTATAGACCACCTACATATTTTTTAACTTCATTTAATATGGAATCAAAGTATTAGTTTGTCATACCTTTTATTTCACAAAGTGTAAGCAAACAAGTACATATTCCTCTAAAAACCCTAAAAGCAAGGTATTGGTACCTAGAACAAATGGCCAAAATAATTAAAATTCTGTGACAAACAGCTGATCCAAAATCGTCAAGGGAGAGTACGTATCGTCATTGGCCACAGCATCGATAACAAAGGCCTCAGTGACAGACAAACCAGGGCGGTCTGCAAAGCTGTCACCGATATTTTAGTCACCGATATTTCGCCCCGATATTTCTTTGTCACTGGAACGAAGTCACCGATATTTTTAAATCACGGTATCTAACATCACTAAATAGAGCAGACGATACAGATCTAAAAACGTGACAAAGCTCAAAAACAATTGTCAATTATTTTAAGAATTCTATTTCTGCAGTTATTTTATATTTATTTATTTTTTTTACAGTAGCCTATTACATTTTAAGATTATTGCGAAAAGATCATCGTGTTAACACTGAAATAGTAGGTATATTCCATTACTAGTTCGAAAGTGACCCATTTCGGGGCGAGATAGTTTTTTACACATATAGGGGGATCGAGCCCCAAAATGGGACTTTTGTGACCAGTATTGAACGATACTTTTTATAAAGATGAAAAAAAATACATCATACTTAAAAAATTATCTGATATTTCATTATCTACTCATTTTTCTAATCTAAACACAATACGGCTGTAGAATTAATTTTAGTGTTAAATTCACCTGGTTGCAACTTTGTTGATGTCAGGCAAAGTATTGTTTGTGTAGCGAAAGTAATGTTTGAAGATCTCAGCTGTATGGAAATGGTCTATTTTTGAATACAGAGTGATGAAAACATTGTTTATTGTGAAATATTTTGAAAATAAATAATTATACTGCTAAATAATATAAACAGTGTACAATTATACTAAAACCAAACACACTAGAAGGTAGCAATGTAAAATAGTCGAACACCTGTTTTGTAGATATTTAAGCATCTTCTATGGGCTCAATTTGATTACATTATTTTATTTTTTTAAGCTAGTTACATCTTTTACGTAGGAATAGAAAGTCTTGTGCTATCCATTAGTGATAATCTATGTTTGTTCTAGGAGGAATTGACAGAGGTGTGGAAAAGTAGTTTTTACTATGTAGAGACGGCATTGACCGAGTTTGCCAGTGATCGCTTTTATTTTCTCAGTTGTCTCCAACAACATCGAACTTAGTTGTGATCTAATTGTAAATTTCTCTAATTTAGTTTTATGTCAGTATTACTTAGTAGTATGTAAATATTTTAAATTCTATCATTCTTGCGTTAAAACTTTGTTAAACTCAAATTTAAAGTAAGAGACGAATTTAAATAATTTTTTACCTAATTGCGACGTTGAGTTTTGATTTATGCTTTGTGTTGCTTTTTATTTCGTGTTTCACTCATTTTGCCATTTTTAAGTAGCCACATCAGTTGCTTTTATAAATTAAAATCTGTGGCGAAGAAACTCAATGCGATGGATGCTGAAAATCTATCTAAATATTTCTAAATATATAGGTTGTTAAAGCTTACTCAATAACTTTTTTTAGACTAATTATTTGACTGTGTAAATTGTATTCGTTTTTATTTAAAAGTAATTTAATTTTTATTTATTTAGTTTAGTTGCATTTAATAGTTGTAGGTAGGATATTAAATTGTTATTATTTTAGTACATTAGGTTGTAATTTTTCATGGGTGTGTTTACATTGGTCGCTACTCAGGTAACTTGGTGACATTATAAGAGCCTGTATGGGATTTGATACTTTAAAATCAACTTTAATCACAACATTTCAAAATGTATTAGATTTCTGTAATCAAATTGCTGCCTTGTGCAATCAATTCAAATGTATTAGTGATATGAGTGGTTCCTAAACAGGTTACCCAAGTACCATTTTGATGTAAAGTTAAATTATTGTTTTCAATATACAAGATGTTTGCTAGCTAGAAACTAGTCAGCTTTTCTTTCATGAACATACTTCTGCCGATGTAAGAAGTTAGGCTTTTCTAACAGGCTTTGTTGCGACAAATGAGAATGCCAATTTTATTCTATACTTAGGTCCGTTTTGAAGTAAAGGGACCTTTTGAGAACGTTGATGATCTTTGAATTATATTGATTATAATGTTCATTTCACCTACTATGCCACTAAGAAGAAAGGGCTTGACTTTTACTCATTCAGGTAGTTTTGTTAATACATTTTTGCTAGGGAGCGAGCTGGTCTAGTGGTAGAGCCTCTGGAGCCCGAGGTCCCGGATCTGAATCCCACCAATCACCAGAGGTTTTATCTATGTGATAATGCCGCAACCCTCTAGAACTAGCCTGAAAAGTAATGTGTAAAACCGTTCCGGACTAGAACCTAGCGTCCTAAGATGTAAAGGTGGGACATAAGAAACAATATTTGCAGATTAACCAAGTTTCTCTAAAAGTTACCATTAAACTTAACTTAAGTTTTTAAAAACAATTTCAAACATCTGAACTATAATGCATTTTACTTTGACACTTGTGTTGTGTAGCCTACAACAAGAAAAAACCACACACACCTATAACTTTCTAGCAAACTCTTGTATTTTTTTATTTACAACAAACACATATTTAAGCTAAAATTGTTGGCCAAGTAGCGGATACTATTAGCTCATTATTGTAAACACACCCAGCCCGATAAGTTTGCAATATTACATCAAGTTGTATATTCGTACATTGATAAGTTTTGTTGTTCTAAAGGTATGTTATTTATTATCACAAGGCGATTTTAAAATGTAAGTAAATGAGAATAATTTATTTTATGATATAAATATACACGTGCTAGAAACGCTTATTACCTCTGCCATAAGGAATTATAGTTAATATATTTTTTAGCTCTTTTAATATATATGACTTATAATCTATTATATGTTTTATTCTTGTGGATGTTATTGACTATATGTTCTCGTCAGTTACATGTTTTAGTACTAGTCAGATATGATAAAAGACTTCCTATTATTTTCCTATTTACTGCAATTTTCAGTTATTTTAAGCCAAGTTGAGTACGCTTTCTATCATAATACTCTTGGCTACTGTTAAAAAGTTATATACAATTTATTTTGGGTATCAATATCAGTAAAATTACTGTTTTGTTTATTAATTTTTCTTTGGTAAATGGGTTATGCCTTGTCAACCAAGTGGTTTAAAATATGTGTACAAAAATAGCTCAGTCAGGTCTTGTTTGTATCATAACTGTTAAACTTTTATCAATTTTAAAATAATTCTGTATTACTATTTGTTATTAAATTACATTTCCGATCCTAGAAATCACTCTTTAGTCTCTATGTATTCATAACAATAAATTGTAACACTTAATTATAAAATACCATGCTTTGTTATTGGTTGTTTATTTATTGTATTAAGTAAGCTGTAGAAAAGTAATTTTCCTACAGTTACCTGACAAAGTGGGCTTCTTTGCACTGATTATCGCTCGCCCAGTAGCTAACTGATGCACTTACATACTTCTTCCGCACTCCAGTATTCCAACCAACACAAAACAGTGTGCTTTTATTAGGCATGTAATACAAGTATGCTTGAAAATAAGTTGGCAGCACTTAAAGATACTACGACTACGATAAGCTGGTTCAGTGTTTCTCTTTTGTTCAACACTTGGATAAAACCTTACCTAAAAACGTGTTGTATAGGGTTGGAAAGACTAATTATTTATATGCTTTCTTTATAGTAACTGTAGGAAAAATATAATGTGTAACGCGAGTGCAAAGTGCTTCCTCACTCGAGAAACTTTCCACACTCGCCTGCGGCTTGTGCGTCAACATTTCTCTCATGTGCAGCAAAGTGCCACTTCGCCCACTAGTTACACAAATAACTATTTTCAACTAATATGTCCTGGAGTTTATTTTAGTTTTGCAAGTGAGTTATGCCGTAGCCTCCTCTATTACAAGACCGTGGCAAGACAAAAGTGGCACCTCCGCAGTTTGGCATTCTGTAACAGCTGTGCACTAATTTATAATTTATAATTGTTAATGTTAACCTATGTTAACATTAACGTTACCTATGTTAACAAGTTTGTTATTCCTGATTCCCTGTTACCACACACTTTGTATTAGAGGGGGCTATGGTTATGCCCTAAGAAAACCGATTGTAAAAAATGTTATTGTAGAATTTATTCATTATTCTGATGAGTTTTTGTAAACCTTTTTTCTTTAAAGGTCAATATAAATTTTTTACACTAGATATATAATGCAAAGTTAATCCTATAATAAGCCGGGTTTACACGATGCCAGTAGGTGAGACAATTGTCAGAAGACAACTCACTGGCATGAAATTATTGGCTACGTGTAAACACTTCAGGCCAACTGCTCTTACAATTGACCTGAAATTCAGTTGTCTCCGAGCGTAGACTGAGGAAAACGAGTAGGACAACTGGCCTCCAACAATTCCGCAATCACTAAATGACAACTGACTCACCAACTGGCATCGTGTGAACTCGGTTTTAGTACAAATATTTTGCAAGTTTAATTTATCTAAGTTTGGAAACATTTTGGTCATGTATAACTTTTATTTTGAAATTGATTTACAATGTCCATTAAATTTCCTTGAATTTCTTTTGCTACTTTGAAGATTAGTTTATGAGTTTTTTTTTTTTTAATTTTTATTTTACTTCTTAAAGTAAAGTTAATGAAGTTCTGTGAAATGTCATACTCACACATCTTGATATAAACATTGACAATAACATATTCTAATAAATAAAAAAAACATGTTTTTTTACTGTTTTGGCTTTTGATGTTGTGAATTAAAAGCTCTATCGAATTCAAAGTCTAAAGCAATAATTGCTTTAGAAATGTGCACCCTATGTTGACTATCTTTAGATTCTGACTTTGCATTTACATTTTTCCTTTAGTTTCTTAGTTGCATCTCATCTGGTAGTAGTGAACACATAGATTACTTCTTATCAATACTTTGTGCCAGCTTATGACTAATTTGACAGGGTAAGTGAGTCGAAAGCAATATGTAGAGGAATTAAGAATAGTAGCAGCCCGTTGTTCCAGTTATCGGATGAATCAGTTTTAGATCAAATAAAATGACTGCCATTTTAAATTAATTGTATTTTATTTCCCCACTTTACCATCATTCAGTTTAGTCATGTTTACATGGGAGCTTTGACTATTGATACAAATCAATAGTATCCAATAGTCAATGATGGGAGTTTACAACAAAATGTTGAGAAAAAGTTGATACAAAAATAATGCATCAAAATCAAACACTCATCAACTAAAGTCATGTAAAACACAGCTTAAAACAGAATTGAAAAAAAAATCTGTTGCAAACCCTTAAAAAACCTATCATATCATTGAAATATTGCTCAAAAAATGGTTGAAAACTGTTTTTAGCGAATTATCCATATAGGGTATAAGCTATTACTGTATTAATAGTCAAAGCTGTTACTGTAGGTCTCGTAGTAAGATTTATTCCTCCCAGTACCGATTTTGTTTTTGTTTTGAAGTCCCCAGAGGCCAAAAACATCACCCGTTTGTATTCACATAAATATATATGTGGGTGTGAATGTGTCCTTTACCACAACTCGAGTCAAAAGGAGTAAGATATACAAAATTGTAATCAAAATTGTTCAGCCAATTACAAAAATCAATTATTTTGTAACTAAGGTTTTTCTGTAAAAATTACCATTAAAAAATCAAATAAAAAGAACCCCTAGAGATGCCTAAGTTAGTACCTACCACGAATACTAGGAAAATACTGGTATGGATCATAAACATAAACAAATGACGTTTTTGTCCCGAAAGTAATCATAACACCTATACTAATAGCATTAATTAACATATGGTTTTGTTTACTTTCGGGTCAAAAACGTCATAGTGAAGACCTTTAATTTGATGTGCATATCGACCTATGCTTACATTAACAATTTCCTTCCGGTTCCTAGGGCTGTGCCCCTGAGGAGTAAGCGTATAATAAAAATGCAAATTAAATGAATCTTTGAACAACTGTCATTCTTGGCTCGGTTGTCGGTTTGAGTTCAAATTTGCGGCATTATATTCTGCTAGTAAAGACCTTTAATTTGATGTACATGCCAACCTATGCTTCTATTTAAGATTTCCTTCGACTCCTTGCGGGACGTCCCCATGATATGACAGAAAATTGATATTTCCTATAAAAAAAGTAGATTTTTAGGTGTGGTGTTGTACCAAATCTTATTGATTTATCTGTGGTTGTTTCGAAAATATTTAACTGTCTTCGGACTTTATTACCACCCTGTATATAGAATTATAAAAACAATAACAATCAAAAATCAAAACAAATATATACTTATGTGGCAGTTATAAGGTGATTTTCTGTTTCCAATCTGGGTGATGTCAGCCTATGACGGGAGTAGCACACCTATGTTTTTCCTTCCACCATGGGTGTAGTCTGTAGCTCTGTACACATACAGACAGATACACACACAGACATCACTTTGAAAGCCACTTTTTTGGGTTCAAAATAGATATATCACCCAAAACTCCAACCTTAAAATGTTGACAAAACAATACTCTCTCCATATAACTATAGATAATGTTCAAATTCCACAGAGCAATGAAGTTATAACTTTCATGTAAAGTATATATACTTGGGCATGACCCTTGACAGAAGTTTTACTTGGAAAAGCCATATCTGGAACAAGAGAATTTTGTTAAATTTAAAATTTGGAAATCTTTCTTGGCTATTAACCCATTGGCGCCGACTTACGAGCGTTACTCGTACGGCCGCTGCAGGCCCGGAGGCCGACTTACGAGAGCCGCTCGTGTCACCGCTAGGCAGCGCCATTTGTTATTTAGTTATTATTATTTTTTGCCCTTTTTGTTTCTTCTTACTATTATAATGTTTATAAATATCTTGCTTCTTGATTTGCGTATTTACTCATTTATTTTAGCGAATAACAAACAATTTTGTGTTGCCATGGAAACCACAACTCACCAAAAATCAGCTGCGGTAAGGTAAACAAACAATTAAAAAAAAATGTTATTACTTATAAAAGTACACAACTTTTGATTTTTCTACGTAGGGAATCGATTGACCATTATAATAGTAGTGTTATTTGGTGTCTGGATTAATCTTGGAATTTGTTGTTATGTCTTCTCTAAGACTGTTTATAATTCATTTATACATATTTTTACTATCATATGTTTTTCTATTGTTTTTGTTTTGTAAACATTCATGAAATAGATTTTGTGTTGAGTTAATATGCGTGCATTTATTAATTATTTTGTAATTAATAAGAGTCATTTTAATTGGCGACGAGTGTGAAAATCAACTAGCCACTGAAAAATTCAACACATTTACTTTTAAAAATTACATTCAATTTCTAGTTTCAAGATACATTAATATTTTATACAGTTCAAACTATAATGGATGCACAACAGTTTACCTTACTTCTAAACACATTCAATGAACAACAAAAAGCACTTGTACGTGAGATGTCAAACATGTTTCAAGCTCAAATTCAAACAATTGTTACATCAATTGGAAAACCCAGAGAAGAAAGCTGTCAATCTACAATGTCAAATGTTGCTACATTCGAAAACTTCAATGCCAAACAAGAAAAGTTTACCAGCTATTTAGAACGTTTCGAAAACTATTATACAATGAAAGGTTTGACTGATAAGAAGAAAATTGCTCAGCTCTTGTGTAATTCTATAGGTAGTGAACATTATAACAACCTATCTGCATTTTTGGGCCCAGACAAGCCACTCAAATCATTAGATTATGAAACTCTGTTGAATGACTTCAAGAAACTATTGACTCCAAAGAAAAGTGTTGTTGTTGCTCAACATTATTTCTTAAATATCTTTCAAAAAGAAAACCAGTCAATTTCAGAGTTTGTGGCCGACCTCAGACGTGATCTTCAAGAATGTGAATTTGCAGTAGAATGCTCCAACGATGAATGTGGAACATCTGTGTCAATTGCTGATGTTTTCTTGCGGGCACAGTTCATACGAGGATTGAAGGACAATTGGCTTAGGGAACACCTTTTACAATCCGTTTACACAAAGTTTGATGACATTCTAGAGAAAGCTATTGCTCTTGAAGCATCAAAGGTTGAAAGCAAAGAATTTCACCAACATGCATGTTCTAACAACTTTAATATGGATTCGGCTGGAGTGCACAAAATTACAAGGTCTTCCAGACGATCCCACCAGTTCTCTAACAATCGCTCATCCAACAAGACATCTCTCAACTGGAAACAACGTTCAAATAACAAAAGACCTGACTTCAATGCCCTCGGAATAGAAGGCCTCTGTCTTAGATGTGGAAGTAACAAACACATTGCTGCAAATTGTAACAGACACAAGTATAAACTCCAATGTGGGGAGTGTTTAAAACGAGGACATGTCTCTGCGGTCTGCATAACTACACTGATGTCAAGGACTAAGAAATCAACATCAAAGTTAAATTCAACCAACAACCTACATTCAGGATCAAATGATGACGATTATTCTAGTGACGACTCTTCTGATTACGGAGTGCACAAAATTGATTCGATCTACCAGAACTTTGATGTCGTAGATTTATTTGAAGTTGGATATGATTCAGACAAGTACATTGTTTCTGTCACTATAAATGGAAAATTGCAATGTTTTGAAGTTGACAGTGGGGCTAAATTTTCTCTCCTTGCGAAGAATGACTTTGAACGTCTACATCTGAACGTACCTGTAGAACCATCAAGGCTAGCTTTCCGTTCTTACTCTGGAGACATAATCAAACCAGAGGGAAAGGTATCAGTTTCTGTATCATACAAGGGTAAACAGTTCAAAGGTGACCTTCACATCGTCCCTTCAGGTCATGATGCACTTCTAGGGCGCCAATGGATCCGAGGACTGGGTATTGAACTGTGTGAAATTGACGCTGAAATGAACCGACCAGCTACTACCCTTCAATTACAACCAGTAAATTCAGTTGAGGAACTGTTTGAAAAATTTGCGCCAATTTTCGAGCCAAAAATTGGATGCGTTCCAAACTTTACAGTATCATTACATCTTCGATCAGGAGCAAAGCCTATTTTCAATCGTGAACGGAACGTACCTCATGCTCTTATTGATCAGGTCAACAAGGAACTAGATTTACTTGAAAATGAAGGAATCATTTCGCCTGTTACGTCAAGTGATTGGGGGTCACCACTAGTCGTGATACCTAAGGCAGATGGAAGTGTTCGTCTCTGTGTCGACTACAAGTGTGGTGTGAATGAACGAATAGTCCAGGCAAACCATCCTATTCGAAAAATTGACGATGTACTCGATAGTTTGAGAGGATCTCGTTACTTTTGTAAACTTGATCTGTACAAAGCTTATCTGCACCTCAAGGTCGACGAAGAGTCCAGTATTATCCAGACAATGTCAACACACCGTGGAACATATCGTGTCAATCGTCTAAGTTTCGGAATAAAGACAGCACCTTCTGAATTCAACCGAATTCTTACACAAATTTTGAAGGGGTTGCCTAAAACCGAGGCCTACTTTGATGACATAATTTGCCATGGCTCAACAATGGATGAGTGCAAAAGAAATCTACAGGCCTGTCTTCAACGACTCTCAGATTTTGACTTACACATAAACAAACAGAAGTGTTCATTTTTTCAAGAACAAATAGAATATCTAGGACGAGTGGTGGAGTTAAACAAAATAAAGAAATCTCCTACCAAAGTTCAAGCTGTTAAAGAAATGTCACGTCCATCAAAAGTTGAAGAATTACGACGATTCTTAGGAATGGTTTCTTACTACTCTCGTTTCTTTCCAGATGCTTCAACTGTCACTTTTCCTTTGCGACGTTTGTTACGCAAAAATAAGAAATGGGAATGGACACCAGAATGTGAAAAGGCTTTTCAACGAATCAAAACTGAGCTCTGCAGTAACAGGATACTCGTACCTTTCGATCCAAAACTACCGTTAGTCCTCACCACAGACGCTTCACCTACTGGACTAGCTGCAGTTCTTAGCCACTTAATAGATGGTACTGAGAGGCCAATTGCTTACGCCTCACGTTCACTCACTGATGCCGAATGTAACTATAGTCAACTAGACCGGGAAGCATTAGCCATAGTTTTTGGTGTCTCCCACTTCTATTATTACATATTCGGGACTCAATTTCAACTTGTAACAGATAATCAGCCAATATCTAGGATCTTCAGACATGACAAGGCTCTACCACAAATGACTTCAGCTCGTTTACTCAGATATGCATCATATCTGTCAGGTTTCAATTACAAGTTGGTGTTCAAAAAGGGCATGGAAAATAAAAACGTGGATTGTCTTTCAAGAGCTCCTCTTACACAGACGCACTCTACTAAAGACAAGAAAATCGGAAAAGAGGTACACCAAATCTGCAGCCAAGTTATTTTTCAAATTTCAAGCCATGAAATCACAGCTGAAATCATTAAGAACGAGACAGCCAAAGATCCAGTGCTCTCTAAGATTTTGAAAGACCTACTCACCAATTCAACTGATTCTGATTTTACGTTGGTCGAAAACATTATTTTCCGGGGAGAAAGAGTTTACATTCCATCACTACTTAGAAACAAGATTCTAAATGAACTTCACGAAAGTCATCTTGGAATCACAAAAATGAAACAGCTAGCACGGCGCTATGTTTACTGGCCAAATATTGACAAGGACATTGAGCATCTTGTGAAAGGATGTGAAAATTGTGCACTAACACGGTCAAATCCGCCCAAAGCTCCCAATCACCCGTGGGAAATCCCAAAAGAGAACTGGGAAAGAATACACATTGACTACGCAGGACCGTTTCAAGGCTTCAACTTCCTCGTGTGTATTGATGCTAGATCAAAATGGGCGGAGATAAAAGTAATCAAAGATGCACCATCCAGCTCCAATACCATAAATCTGCTTGAACAGATTTTTGCAACACACGGCTACCCGAATGTTATGGTATCTGACAACGCCTCAATTTTTCAAAGTGATACATTCCAAGCTTATTGCAAATTGCACGGCATTTTCCAGAAATTCATATCTCCAGGACATCCAGCAACAAACGGCTTAGCAGAACGCTCTGTTCAAACATTGAAGAACCGCCTGAAGTCCACAGCTTCGGAAAACATACCAATGGCAATAAAGGTCCAGAAGATCTTAATGCGGTACCGGGCAACTCCTCTAGCATGTGGCAAATCACCGGCTGAACTTTACCTCCACAGGAAGTTAAGAATACGAATGGATGCCATTTTTCCCAACGTACAAAAAGCTTCAACTAGAAATGCTCCATCTGCACGTTCATTCAACGAGGGGGAGAGAGTTCAGGTTCGTCTCTTCATAAACAACAAGAACGTTTGGGAGTTTGGAGAAGTAAACAAAAAGTTGGGAACTCGACACTATCTAGTTTCCCTTGACAAGTCAGGCCGACTTGTTAAACGACACATTGATCAATTGCGGTCTACTTTGATACCAAAACCAAAAATTGTTACCACGGGACCAATCCACATATTTGATGTTCCACGGGCTTCTAAACACAGCACAAAAGAAAATTCTAAGGCTGTTACTTGTTCTAATCCTGAAAGACTGTCAATTCCTGAAAGACCATCAACTCCTGAAAGACCATCAACTTCCGTAAGACCATCAACTTCCGAAGGACCATCAACTTCCGAAGGACCGTCAATTTCCGAAAGACCACCAACTCCCAAAGCAAACAATGCAGAGGTTCCAGTAGTTCAGGGAACAGAAACAAACAATAGCCATATTCCTGAGAATCAAGAAAGATCAAGGCGACAAAGGCAAATGCCGGGCCGATACAAGGACTTTGTGCTTTCATAATAATACACTGCAAGTTCAAAATAGTGGGGGAGACTGTTATGTCTTCTCTAAGACTGTTTATAATTCATTTATACATATTTTTACTATCATATGTTTTTCTATTGTTTTTGTTTTGTAAACATTCATGAAATAGATTTTGTGTTGAGTTAATATGCGTGCATTTATTAATTATTTTGTAATTAATAAGAGTCATTTTATTTGTATATCAAGTTTACTTTCAAAATATTGTTTTTTAAAATTTTTATTTTTATAATCTTTATATATATATATTTTTTAGTTTAGAACTTTGACTATCCAATTAACACTTTTCTGTAGACAATAATTTTACTGTGAACAAAATGGTGAAAGAATTATTAATTTATTACCTAAGGTTTTCTTTCTATAGCAGGTAGAGTAAAAGTCTACAAATTCGGTAAAATTAATTGCCGCCAGAGGGAGCTGCAGGTAGCGGATTAATTCCTTCCCCAATGGGTTAAATAAAAATTCAAAATTAACAACAGAAAATAAATTGCTATTATATAAAACTATTCTGAAACTGAAACCAGTGTGGACGTACGGTATCCAACTGTGGGGGACATCCAGTGAATCAAATCTGAATGTCATCCAAAGATTCCAATCTAAAGTTCTAAGGCACATTCTAATGAAGTGATTCACAGGGACAGTCGAACCCCAACAGTCAAAGAAGAAATTTCAAGTTTAAGTGCCAAATACTTAAAGAAATTAGAGTACCATACTAACTACTGTACCTTGCTTTAAATTTATTTGACAATAGCAACTGTGTATATAAGTTGAAAAGATGCCATGTTTTGGACTTAACTTGTCGTTTTTATGAATTTATGGACATTAAACTTTGTACCAGATATGCAAAGTTTGTGTGTCAGCTTTAATGTTGGATAATGACTATTATCATATTTGCTTATTGTTCTATTTTTGTTGAACAGATAGTAAATTAAATAAAATGTAAAACAAAATCTAGAAACAATTAATTATGGAGGCAGTTTGTTTTAATAACATCTGATTTTATTATCATTTATTTGGGTGTTGGGCTTTTTGAATTTGTGTTTTTGTCATTTGTTTATTTAACCTAGTTGTTGCTAATAAGTTTTGCCTCAGTAACAGTTTAAGGTGAAGAATGATGAGCAAGTAAGAATTAATTTCTAAACTGATATTTTACCTAATTGTATATATTACTAAACAATAGCAGTTGAACTAAAGGTTTTTTGATGAAAGTTAAGGAATCTAGGTAAGAACCTACTTCAATTAAATACATCTTCAATTAAAAGAGTTTACTTAGGAAAGCATATTAGAAATCTTTTGGACAGAATAAACTATATATAAAATATGTATATTTTCAGGTTTGTAAATAGTAGAAGGCTTTATTTACTTGAAGAGTTTATGATGAGGCCAATTTAAATAAAAGAACTGTGAAGGAGCAATAATACCGGTACTAAAAATAGAAAAAAATCTATAAAATGGATAATTATGAGGTATGGTTAGCAATATTTTCTAATAATTGATTTTCGTCACTGCTAACGCTAAGTGTTTATTTTTGTCAACTTGTTTGATTAGTTAGATTTTAACTTTAATCTTCTTTAATTCACAGATTACATAATGTAACATATTTTTTATAGATACAATTAGAGTATGGTTAACAGATTCTATGATACTGCCAACTTACTGAAACCATAGACAAATAGAACAGAATAAATATAGACTGTCAACGGAAGGTTTCGGCGCCCACTGTGCTGTTTGGTATTTTTATAATTGCTATCATATGTTGCATATTTGATGTTTGTTTTTATTGTATTGTTGTTTTGAGCTTGAAGACTTACTTTTGGGATCTTGGCTAATAAAGTATCTATGTTTAACTGTGGTGTGAGTTTTACCTTTCACTTCATGGTGTCAGGTTAAATAAACTTTTGTGGAGAAGAAAGAACTAAGCATGGCTGAAGCAGTGAGTAGTACAATTAGTACAGTTCAATACCAACTTGTCACACCTGAACCTTTCAATTTCAGGGAACCTTCTGAATGGCCTAGATGGATAAGAAAATTTGAAAGGTTTAGATTAGCTTCAGGATTAGACAGTAAGAGTGGGGAAAATCAGGTTAATATGCTTTTATACTGTCTAGGAGATGAAGGAGAAGACCTTCTAACATCTTTCGGATTAAAAGATGAAGAATTACAGAGTTATGACACTGTCAAGGGTAGATTTGAGTCTTACTTAGGTTTCAAAATCAATATTGTATATGAGAGAGCTAAATTTCTAAAAAGACGTCAGTCTGAGGGGGAACCTGTTGATTCTTTTATAAATAGTTTACACAAACTGGCAGAGCGATGTAAACTTGGGGAATTAAAAGATGAACTAATTAGAGATTTGATAGTAATTGGGGTAAATGATGATAAACTTTCTCAAAATTTACAGTTGGATGAAAAATTAACTTTAAGTACAGCAATTTTGAAAGCAAGACAAGCAGAGAGTTTAAAACAACAACAAAAAGTAGTGAGGGAATCACCAGAAATTGAGTTTGTCAATAAGGGGATTAATCAATCCACTAAACATCGGTTTAGGGACAGTTCTTGCAATAAAAGTCAAGATCAAAGCTTTTCAAAGAAAGGTAAATGTAACAAATGTGGATTTGTTGGTCATCACAATAGCAATGATTGTCCTGCCAATCAGTCTACATGTTTCAGATGTGGAATAAAGGGACACTATGTGAGATGTTGTACCAAAGGATTTGAAGTGAGAGAAATTAATAAAAGTAATGAACCATTAGAAAAACCTAAAACCTATTTAGGGGAATTGACCATAGAAGAGGTTGGAGGACAAAATCCTTGTAAAGTAAAACTTAATGTCAAGGGGCATGATATTTATTTTAAGCTAGACACTGGAGCAGATGTTTCTATAATTGGATATGATCTTTGCAAGGAATTAAAACTGGAAACGAGTGATACAAGTAAAATATTATTTGGTCCGGGGAAAACTAGGTTGAAAGTGGTTGGTAAGATCGTTGCTACTTTGGTTTTTAGAAATAAATCTATTGTAGAAGATATTTACGTCATTGAGCAACAACCTACTCCACTTTTAAGTAGAAATGCAATGTTGAAATTAAACCTAATTCAGTTCAACATAGATTCGATTTTCTCTGACCAAATATTTTCTCAGTTTTCTGATGTTTTTGGTTCTATTGGTGAAATGAAAGGGGAAAACTACAGAATTGCACTAACACAAAATGCTCGTCCCTTTGCTGTGGCAGCCCCTCGTAGAGTGTCCGCTCCATTATTGAGCAAAGTCAAAGAAGAATTGGATCGACTGCATTCTGAGGGAATAATTGAGCCAGTGGTAGAACCAACAGACTGGTGTGCACCAATTGTTGTTGTACCGCGTAAGACAGGTGATAGAGTGAGGCTATGTGTTGATTATACCGAACTCAACAAAAGCATTCAGAGAGAAAGGTGGCAACTACCAACTGTAGAAGAAAGTCTAAGTAAATTAGAAGGCGGACAAATATTTTCATTACTAGACGCTACAAATGGATTTCTTCAAGTTCCCTTACATCATGAAAGTTACAAGCTTACAACTTTTATAACTCCTTTTGGGCGATTCTTTTTCAAGAGGTTACCATTCGGTATTAATTCTGGCCCAGAGGTTTACCAGAAGAGGATATACCAAGTTTTGGATGGACTGGATGGGGTAGTAAACCAAGCAGATGATATACTTGTGGTCGGTAGAACACAGGAAGAACATGACCATCGACTAGCAAATGTATTACAAAGATTGAGAGAACACAATGTTACACTTAATAAAGATAAATGTAACATTAATGTGAACAGAGTTAAATTTCTAGGACATTTGATTGAAAATGGATTGATAAAGCCTGATCCTGAGAAAGTGGAGGCCATTATGAAAATGCAAACCCCAAATAATGTTAACGAGCTTCGGCAATTTCTTGGCATGGTTAATTATTTGATGAAGTTTATTCCTAACTTGGCTGAAGTTACAGCTCCATTGCGAATTTTACTTAAGAAAGGTTATCAGTGGGTTTGGTCTGACGTTCAAAAGAGTGCTTGGGATAAAATTAAATCCCTAATTTCTTCAAATCCAGTTCTGGTGTCTTACAACAAAAATCGTAAAACCAGAGTTGCAGCTGATGCCTCGTCATTTGGCCTAGGAGGGGTGATTGAACAATTTGTGGATGGAAAGTGGAAACCAATCACCTATGCATCGAGATCTTTATCACCGACAGAGATGCGTTATGCTCAGATAGAAAAGGAGGCACTGGCACTGACTTGGGCATGTGAGAGATTTTCACAGTATGTTTTAGGAACCGAGTTTGAACTTATGACTGACCATAAACCTTTAGTTCAGGTGCTTGGAAGTAAACAAATCGCTAGTTTATCGGCGAGACTTCAGCGGTTAAGAATGAGAATGGCTTGTTTTAGATATAAAGTAACATATGTGAAAGGAAAGGAATTTTATGTACCAGATGTTTTGTCTAGGAACCCCATTAAGTCAAATGAAGACATATTGGAACAAGATTTGTTTGTTCAGAGTATTTTAGATGCTATTCCTTGTTCTGACAAAAGGCTCAAGGAAATCAAAGAAGCTCAGGATACTGATGAGGAATGCGGAAGAATTAAATCCTGGATTGTGAATAACAATTGGAATAAAAATTCGGTGTATTGGAAGTACAGGACTGATCTAAACATCAGTAAAGGATTCCTCCTTTTAGGCACAAGACTGTTTATTCCAAAATCGTTGAGAAAGGAAATACTGAGTAAAATACATGAAGGTCACATGGGAATTGTCAAATGTCGAAGGCGAGTGTATGAATCGGTGTGGTGGCCTGGCTGCTCAACAGATATTGCTACACTTGTAACAAATTGTCCAGTTTGCTTGGAGCAAAGAAGTAACAAATCAGAGCCATTACTGTTGACTGAACTACCAAAAAATCCCTGGGAGTCTTTAGGTATTGACCTTTTGAAATGTAATGCAAAATGGTATTTAGTTGTGCAAGATTACTATTCTAGATTTCTTGAACTGGTTTATGTGGATGCATTGACTACTGGAGCTGTGGTTGCTAGATTGAAAAATATATTTGCTCGACATGGAGTACCATATGTGGTAAGAGCTGATGGAGGTCCGCAATTTACTTCTCAGGATTTTAAAAATTTTGCTGAAGAATATGGTTTCCGTATAGTGACATCAAGCCCAAGGTATCCACAATCAAACGGAGAAGCAGAAAAAGCAGTTGACATAGCGAAGCGGATTCTAACGAAATGTATAGTGATCCAAATCTTGGATTGTTAGAATATAGAAATACACCCTTAGAGTCTGGTCTTTCACCTGCAGAGTTACTTTATTCACGGAAGCTCCGATCAACATTACCGTCAATAAATAACTTCAGACAGGTAACAAGGGAAAGATTGCAAAAGTTTAAAGAGAAGGATTTTTCAATCAAGAAAAGAAATAAGAGAAACTACGATGTAAGGAAAGGTGTAAGAGATCTCTCACAGCTTGATCAAAATGACAAAGTTTGGATTCCAGATTTAAAACGTTATGGACATGTTGAGAATAAATCAAATCATCCTCGGTCCTACCTGATAAATACACAGGCAGGGAAGATCAGAAGGAACAGGAGACATATAATAGCTGTGCATAGGCCTATTGAAAATGGTGGAAATAGATTTGAACACCAATACCAAGAAGACCAAGGAACTGAAACTGATGCTGGACATAATTACAATAGCAATGAAAATGACAGACCTAAAAGAAGTGTAAAACCACCTCTTAGATACAGTGATTCAGATTTTTACAAATAAACTAAAAAAAAGAGAAAAGAGAAGATGTGCTGTTTGGTATTTTTATAATTGCTATCATATGTTGCATATTTGATGTTTGTTTTTATTGTATTGTTGTTTTGAGCTTGAAGACTTACTTTTGGGATCTTGGCTAATAAAGTATCTATGTTTAACTGTGGTGTGAGTTTTACCTTTCACTTCACCCACCGCTAGGAGTGCCGTGTAGTTACGGCGCACACCGCTGCAGGCGAGGAGTGCAGGAGCCGTATGCAGCCAGCAGACGCTGCAGCGGTGGACGCCAGAACTTATGCTAACCGCAGCACAGCTGATGGTCTATATTTATTCTTTTGTCTCTGCTGACACCCAGTATCAATTTACCTTATGCAATATTGGGTAGGTCATTATCAAAGTCGTATTTTGGTACCTACCGATAGAATTGTTCCAAAATCTTGCCACTTATCTGAGGTTATTTAAGAATTATTTATTGACTTAAGTTACTTTGTTTGTTAGTGATTTATGTGTTCAAAGTTATATGGGGAGGGTTCAGTATTAGGACACACTTCTACTGTTTGACAATAGCTAGTCAATAAATAGTTATCTTAAGCTTCAAGTGATTATTTTTAGTTTATGGTCATCCTTCAACATTGAACCCAAACATTTAGGTACATTTTGCCATTGTATACACCTGATGAGAATTAAAAATATTATGTCTGTTGCTATAACAAACTGAACATTTTTTAAATGAAATTCATTTATATGACGACTATTTTATTGTTGTTTTGTATTATCAGATTCTTATATTTAATACATATACTAGTGGTATCAAGTCATCAAAGTGATGCCAAAGTAGCAATGCCCACTGATATTGACAACATCTCTAGGTGTAACAGCTACTGATGTTTTCCACTTTGTAAATATAATAATGTAGTTGATATAATTCCTGTATTTTTTTAAAAATCTCAAGATCATTGATTTTCTTAGAAACAATGGACATTCCGAGATAAAGTGAAAACCATAGATTTTGTTCTTGTCTGGGATGAGACAAAGAAAACCACATCAGCGAATGCCATGGAAAAAAGAACAGTGAGTAGAAATTTGTTCATATATCATGTTGTTTTTTGAAAATTAAACTTGAGAATGATTTGATGTTAAATTAAGTATTTGAGCACTTTAGTAACTTAATCTTAATTTGTGATAGTTTGACCTTGGTCTCAACAATTTCATTATCAAAGGTAGATATATGGGCCATCTGGAGTGACATAACGGAAAATTCGCTTACATCTATTTATACTTAGCACAACTTAACAAAAACAGCTGAAAACTGCTTTTATTGGTGCTGCAATGTAGGAGACAAGCTTATATAGCTACAGTGGAACCTCCATAAGAAGACCCTTAATAACAAGTGGCACTAGATAACAAGTCTCATTTTCAAACACCCTTGATTTTTATATTACCCTTAATTGCATGTTATTCCAAACCTCTATACGGAGTCTACCTTGGCAACAAAGTCATATTTGATCATGCGATACTCCCTGGTGTGGATTAACGTCCGCAGGAGTGAGTACTACGACTATCCGCAGTACTATCCTGAAAATTAGACCGATTTGTATATACCAAAGCAAAAATGTGGTTCGGATTCCACTATAAACTGTAGGTCCCTTAGTTGCCGTTAGCTGTATGAGCTATTAATTAACAGCTGTGTTTAAGGAATAAGTCGGCCTTAGTCACTAACAAGACTACAAGATCGCGCCACTCATCCTACACTCATCTCCATTCATACTTTGCTTAAAATACCTACTTTGTATGGTAGCCATTTCATTGAAAAGTATTTAAGTATCCCCATGAGAGACTTATTATCCAGGTTCTACTGTACTATATATGCCATGTGCTCCGGCCAAGTCAGTGGAGTAGGGCGGGGTCTGAATCTTAATTCGCCAAAGTTTGCCTTGAGGAATATTAAAGCTACCCAAAATTCTATGCTTATCTGTTGAGTTGGTTTTAAAAGGGCGCCACCCCATTAATCATACCCTTGAGTTCATGTGATGGCAATGGGGAATCCATCCAGTTGGGTCAGTTCATCAGATAACAAGATAATAATGCAGATAATTACTTTTGAGATAAAGAAAGTTTGACTGTTCATGCAATCTTATAACTATACAGTGAATAAATTATGTACACTCAAAATATACCAAAATAATTGATTAAAATTCAAAAGACTTGATTTCAATTGTTTTGTAAATTCACACTAATTACTAATTACTTTGTGTCCAGACAGGCAAATAGATGATAACCAGTTAGCAGACACAATATTTATTCAGCTATCAGATTGTTACATGCAAAATATATAATTTCAATGCGGCTCCAATTTATATATTCAACCCTCAATGTCACTTGAGCCACAAAATATGAAATAATAAAGTATTTCCAAAATTTACATAAATAAATCTGATAATGTCTGCTCAAGATAAACTTTAGTATATGTTTCACCAAAAGCAAGATATTCAGCAAATAATACTACAATATAAAATTAATTAATCAATTGAGTGCAACTGCAGGTGGCCACCGTGCTGAAAAGTCATTTTAAATACATATAAATTCATAAATACATACACATAACCATAAACATATCATCAAACAAGAACATGCACAATACTTAAATCTAACAAGGCTAAATAAATTATAATAAATATTCTCCGATGAGGCGTGTCGACATCCAGGCACTCAAATATTTCCAGTGGCACTTAATAGTCTCACACACACCTAGAGGTGGGGCACTAAGGCACCAAGTGTCCACAATGTCTGGCTAGCCAAGTGTTTATTTGATTATTCCGGGATAAGCTGTGAGATCAGATGGTAAGATATTTTGGACTAAAGAATAAGATGTCTGACTTATCGGTTGAAGACAGATGATCTCGGGCTCGGTCTAAAGTAGGTAGGTCCACAGCATCAGTGGTGATTGACCATCAGTCAGGCAGTCCAGGTCCAAAGGTCCAGAAAAATAGCAGTGGGTAGACCAAGTGCGGTAGAGTACGAAGCAGTGACCAGAGTGTCCAGGCCGTTGGATCAAATCCCAGCAGCAGTAGCCAAAAACCCTACAAAATTCCTTACTGAATAGTACATGATCTCACCATAAACATAATATATATATATATTTAACCAAACAAGTTCCAGTGCCACACTTTTAAGCCAAAACATAACTTTTGAATGTCATAGTAATGAATTATGCTCATGCTCTTGTAACCAGATTTGAATATAAAATGAGTTGTGTTGTAACACATTAAATAAATGCAATAGTTGTTCCCTGTTTAAATAAATAATTCAACTAATTTGTCACAGTGTGTATTACAAATAACAATCCTACATAAATACAAATATTTAAATATTACCAAATATTTCCACCAAAGATAATCACCCTAGTTCAAAGATAATAGATAAAAATATGCAACTTTGTAGACAAATTCTTGTGATAATGCCAGGTCCTGGATATTATCTGCAGAATAATCTGTTTGATCTGTATTCCAAATAATATGCTACAATTGTAACTGCCCAAAAGCTTAAACAGTATGATTTAATCATTGTATCCCACCTACTATGATGCATTGAAATCATGCAATAATTATTTTAACCTCAAGAAACTATTACATATTAAATTATACATCAAACAATGAGAACACTAATTATGATTTTTGACCCAGTTAAAATTGACAATATGGAACATAAAATATGTACAATTAAATAAGTTTGACCTAGACAAGGTAGCTACATAAAATGTTGATTAATCCAAATATAATATTTACAAATTTACTAACGTTCGAGATATTATTTACAGATATTATTTACAGTTTTCAGCAAAACCAAGTAATTAATTTAATAAAATACTACTGGCTTTTTAATATTTTAACATTTACAGCCCAACAATGATTGTAATTTACTTTACTCAATATTCACAAAATTCTATGTACAACAATAGTTAGCTTTAAATTTCAAGTTATGCTTGATATTAAATTAACACCCAAAACGTTTATTTTACTTTTATTTTCAGCAAGAATTCCTAATAAAATATTATTTTACCTATTTTTAGAAAATTAGATTTTTAAATTTTTAGAAACATGTGCTTTTTGAGATTGTCTATGCATGAAAAGTCAATGTTAGAATTTTATAATTCCAACAATATTAATCATTCAAGGCAACATAAACTACTTATACATTGATTTTGAAACATAAAATTTACATATAAAATATCTGCATTACCTCTTGAAATAATATCCTCAATAAAATATTCCTGAAGAGAAGAGGGTGTTGTCCTGGATATCCACAATCAGTCAGGTCGGCTTCCACACCATAAATGCACAGTTTTCCTTATCCATCAGCTGGGCTTATCAGTACTCATGCACAAACCTGAGGGCTACTGATGGTCGGCACGTGTAGCTCCCTTGGCTAAAGATGGAATTTCTCTTGCTCCTTCAGTGGAGAGGCGGCAATTGCAAGACCTACTAGTAATGGTGTATTGGGGCAGTTGAAGGCGTCCCTCCAAACAGCAATAATTAGTATCGGGTGATCAGTCCGATTCCCCTTGTTCTAAACATTACTAGCAACGTTACAAACACCCCCCAAGCAGAAGGAAGTTGCCTGCAAATTCCTCAACTAGGCGTAAGGCTTGAGATCTTCTACGTGCCATGTGCCAACATTCTTCCCAGCCTGGTCAGCTAGCTCATAGATAAGTGGCGATACTCTTCTGGTGACTGTGAAAGGTCCAAGAAACTTCGGAGCTAACTTAGCTGAAAAGTTTTTGGTGGCATCAGACTGCTGGTAGTTCTTCTTCCAGACAAGGTCATTCACTTTATACTCTTGATGCCGTCTTCTCAGGTTGTACCTTGCAGCATTCTTCTGATGAGCCTGTTCCATCTTCTCTTGAACTGTAGAGTAGATTATCCTAAGACCCCTCAGCTTTCGTCCGTAGACTTGGTTGTCCTCTACTTCATCAGGTGCATCTTCAGTCTTGTCTTCCTCTTCCAGATTTAAGTTCAACTCTCGGCCAAAATTTAGATAATTAGGAGTGTATCCAGTGGTGTCATGTCTTGCAGAGCGAAGTGCGAAACCAATCTTGGGCAACTCTTTATCCCAATGACGGTGATTGTCACCTACATAAGCCCTCAACATATTCCCAATGGTTTTATTCACCCGCTCAGCTGGATTTGACTGGGGATGCCTGCTAGCATTGTACAATATCTTCACCTTGTACTCCTTGGCTAAATCCTTAACAGGTTTTCCAATGAATTCAGGACCGTTGTCGCAAATCAAAAATCGAGGGATTCCCCAAAGCAAGAAAACATCCCTTTCAAGGTGCTGGGCGACTAAGTTTGCAGTGGCAGCACGAAGAGGAAATAACAAACAACATTTTGTAAAAGTGTCTACCACTACTAAAATGTATCGATAGCCTGACGTTGAGCGTGGGAAAGGACCTAACAAATCGGCAGCTACCATAGTCCAAGGTTTATCCACCGCTCTACTGGCTCCCATCATTCCTGCTGGCTTAGTCTGTTCAGCCTTACTTTGTTGACATACACGACATCGGGACACATAATTCGCTATATCTTTCCTCATTTTTGGCCAATAGTACAAGCTCTTCACTCTCTCAAATGTTTTGGTGACTCCAAGGTGACCTGCAGTTGGAATATCATGAAGTTGGCGAAGTATTTCTGTCCTTTCATGTTTTGGTGGGACCTTCTTCCATCCAACAGCTCCTTCCAGACGAGTTTCCTTACTAGAAACCAGCTTCCAAAGGGTATCGCCATCAGTCTTCCACAAGGGATAAAGTTCATTGTCTTCTTGAACGCTTCTTAACATCTTCTTGTGCCATCTATCTTCCTTGACGGTATCACTCCCATCTGGAACTGTGGCAGATACTGCCGGAATATTATCCTCTTCTGGTAGGGTTGATCTAGACAACAAGTCTGGTACCACGTGTTCTTTACCTTTCCTGTGGATAAGGTCAAAACTATAGGGATGAAGACGCAGAGCCCATCTCGCTAGACGTCCCTGTGGATCCTTAAGCCGGAAGAGCCACAACAAACTATAATGGT